TCATTAGTTTTAAGTTGAAAGTAAATGATGGATTCTCTAACTAAGCATACACATAACACAAGTTGTTGTTGACATAAAGAAAAATGTTTCAGATTGAGATCATGAACTGATTGATGTTAGATCACCGTTGGAAACCTGGAAGCACTGGATGACAAATTCATCCTATTGTGGAACTCTTCAGTAGTGCGCATCCACGACTCCGCATCATGAGATTCGAACCCAGGACCTATCAGTCTCACGCGCCATCGCTTAACCATTAAACCAATGAGTTGGCCGGCACTCCAATGATGTTAATGTCTAACTTCATTTAATCCACGAAATTGAGTGACACATCCATCATTATCTTCAATAAGTTACTATTATATCATAACAGATCTGATTGAAATCCACTGATCACTGCTTCTCAATAGAACTGTAAGAAATACCTCTTGAAGTCAGTTACTATTGAGCATATGTTGATTAATATCAGAACGGTTTTTGTGAATATTATAGTTGATATCATAAATCAAATGAAGTAAGATCACCATGGAAAGCCTGAAAGCATTGGATGATCGTTTCGTTCGATTGAATGTATTACTGTAACTGAATACTGAATTGAATAACAAACAAATGAAACAAGTTACAAGTAAGATTCAATAACTTAAACTTAAATCTGTCATCAATTAGGTCACAATGTTAATTAGTTATTATCATGTGAGATAAAGTTAAATTTGTAACCATATGACATTAGAAAGTTTATATACCTACCTTTCACATAATGAATAAAAGTTATATATTCATATAAACCATTGAAAGATTATGGTAACAAAGATACATTCCTATGTATCCCTAGGTAGCAAAGGTACAGTAAATATATTTCCTGTTTTAGTAAAACTATTTTACATTTGAATAGGTTACTATCGAATATTTAAAGGGTGGTGTATTATTATTATTTTTGGATGCCTGTTGACAAGATCTTTCCATTTATGTACATTAAATTGCATTACTTTTTACATTCATACAAATTGATTACATAACATTGTAGTGGCTAGATTCCTCTATATCTTACTAATTTAGTTACGCCTATTACTCCTCTTGAAGGAGCATAGGCCGCTCAACAGCATTCTCCATCCAACCCCGTAATGGGCAATCATTTCTAGCTCTTTCCAGTTCTTATTCATCCTTTTGATATCTACTTCTATTTTTCGACGTAATATGCTCTTCGACCATCCACTTTTCAACTTCCCTTCAAAATTCAAAGTTATGGCTTGCCTCGTCAGGCAGTTTGATCATTTGCGTAACGTCCTATGTGTTTCCAGCATCTTTTCCTAAACTCCTCTTCAGCAGGAAGTTGGTTTGTTCTTTCCCACAGAAGGCTGTTGCTGATGATATTCGACCAAAGGATGTTGAGTATCTTGTGTAGACAACTATTTATAGATACTTGTACCTTCTTGATAATTGTTGTTGTAGTTCTCCAAGTTTCAGCTCCTTACAGTAGAAGTGCCTTGACGTTTGTATTGAAAATTCCTCTATATCGGACTCCAATAAATAGTCTCCTGTTAATTGAGTATTCAATGCAGGCTAAATCTCCTAGTAGAATTATAGATTTAGTCGAGATTATTCAAAAGTCTGAACATTAGTTATAGAGATAGTTTATTGATAAAGATTAGTAAAATCAGCAAGCGTACACTAAGTAAACACACAGGGAAACCAAGAGTGTGCGTGTTAAAAATCCATGTATATGGATAAATTATTGATTATCTGTGTATTACAACCACTGGGAGAATAGATTCAAGATCGATGTTGCAGAAATGTAGTCAATCAGACTTACATAGAAAATGACATAGTGGATTAACTGTCTAAATTACAGTGAGCAGATAAATAATACAATAGTTGAATGGGCTTACTATAACATGTTTGTTACACTAAAATCAGTTGACCTGAATGATACCCATATCTTAACTTTATTTACGCAGTTGAGTTTCTTCATCAGCAATTCTTTTAACAATAGAAGTTTAAATAACAGAACTACTACTGCTGCTACACAAATGAATTTGATTCTAATACAGGCAAAGTGGATCATAGAACATTCTAGAACATCCTAGAATATTTGACTCACTTGTAATCGAAGTTCCTATTTAATGTTTATGTTTAGTTAATCATGAAGTACGTTAACCATAGTTGTTTATTGACATCATTCTTCTCATCATGATCAGCCATCGGAACCTAATTTATAGTTGTAATTGTTAGAAGTATGACTACTAAGAGATGTATGATACGGTCATTCGCATCACTACTGATAATTTCATCGTTAACCTCATTGTCTTTATTAACATCCTTGTCATGCTTACCGTTGTTCGACATCAAAAGAACATTATTTAATTCGACCTTGAAATTGCGAATAACATAAGAACCAGTTTGGAACTATTTGACTTTTCTATCTATACACATTGTATTACCTGCATATGCTTCGTGTGCTCACATCCGTTCTCTGTTTTCATACTTGGTCTCTTCAGTGATAAAATGCGAAACCATCATTTTCTAAACAATGGTATGTTCCATTGCAAATCGGTCTGGAGAGATATGAAGAGTGATACATGGAATGTTTAGTCATACATTTCAACAGATACCCTCAGCATTTCATTGATAACGTTTGTTTTCAGCATAAATTGACATGATGTAATACCATGTTTCCTTTTGGTTAAATTTAAAGTTACGATAATGAAAACATTATCATTTGTTATAGTCAATACTCATCAGAAAAGCAGAGGTACAATCCTTAAGGGAACTGATAATTCCTGTAGAATTCATGAATCATTCAACTTAAATATCTTAGATATGAATACCAAGTTATTCAGGTCACTTGATTTCAAAATTTAGTGAATACGAGGTCAGATCCCTTAAACTAGTGATCACAATGAAACTTAATTACAAGAATTCGATCATCACTAAAACACTAGACAAATTTTATATTTTATCGAGAGTTTTGTGGAGATTTGAGTAATTTCATAGTTGAATTCATGAGTTAATTGAAGCTAGACAACCATGGGAAAACTGGAAGCACTGAACAGCCGATTCATCCTAGTATAGGACTCCTTAATAGTGCGCATCCACAATCCCGTTCGCAAGATTCGAACCCAGGACCTATGAAAACTAAACCTCTAGACCATTAATTCAGCATTCAACGATACTTATATCTAAGTTCAACCAATACACGAAATTGCGCTACTATCCACCATTGTCTCACAACAGACCTGGTTAAACTCCTTTGATCACGATTCCTTACTAAAACTCTAAGAAACACCTCTTGAAGTTTATCACTAGTGAAGACATGATAATTATTATCAGAAGAGGGTATTCTGGAGATTTTAGAACGAAATAAATGTCTACCGCTTCCAGATTTGTTATGGTGGTCTAACTTGAATTGACTTTTGAATTCAACTAATAAATAAGACATTTATATCTTCAGTAAACAGCCACTAGGAAACGATAACAGATTGAATCACCTTATAGTTAACCTACATGATCCCTTATACTCAACATTATTCAGGTTTATATTGATGAAACTAATTATAAGACATGACTTCAATGTGAAACACGACATATTAAGGAATATTGTTACTGTATCTACTTCTGTCATGTTCTAGTTCTCGTTTTTCTCACCCCTCACGACAAAAAACAAAAAAAATTTTAAATACCCGATACACTACATATTTGTTTATGAATTATACTGAATATCCTTACGACGACGATGACACCACCACCAACAACAAAAACAAATAACGAAAGGTAAATGTCAATGCTTAAAACAGTCTATTTCCCTCCAAATTAAATGAAGATGTTATAGATTAATTTTTTTATTTAAAAAAGGATTTTTTCCTGAAAACTTCAGTTGTCATGGTGACATTCTAAAAATGGTTACGTAATTAATAATGAAGGTATTAGGCTAAGCAACTATTAGTTAAGATTTAAAAAGAAATTATTTGCTAAGTAAGTAAGTAAGTAAGTAACTATATAAAAGAAAGTTTTGTTTGTTAAGTATTTCAAAGTGATAAGATAGCAAATCGAACATAAAGGCAAATCATAAAAATGTTGAGATTTTCACCGATGCATATTCTACTTCCTCTTTCATGTCTCATATCAACTTGGCGCCTCAAATATTAAGAAACTATTCGATAATAGTTGAAATGTTTGTTAATTTAGTTAATCTGATTGTGGTTTGTATTTGATGATGTGAATTCATGAGTTAATGAAAACTAGACCACCATGGAAAACTTGAAAGCACTAGATGGCCACTTCATCCTAATATGAAATTCTTCAGTAGTAAGCGTACACGATTCAGCATTTCAGTGGGATTCAAACCTAGGAGCTATTGATCTCGCGCAAATACTTAACCAATGTTGTTAGTGATTAACTTCAATCAATCCATGATCGTGGATACACATTGCTGAGGATGAAATGGCCGTCCAGTGCTTTTAGGTTTTCCATGGTGATCTAGCTTTAATTGACTCATGAATTCAACTATTAAATTACTACAGTCTCGACAAAACCTCCTTGTGATATTGATTAAGCTAACTGTTTGATACTTTGTCTACTCATTCATAAATAAGGTGAAACTTCAATTTAGGGATGAGGCAATCATATTTTAGACTCTAGGTCTTGGATTTTTTTTTGAAATTCATTCATTCATTTATATGGTTAATTGATATTTTGACATTATAACTGATGTCATTTCGTAATGAAAACTCCAACTATGATTCCTAAACCTTAGTGTCCAACTGTAAACCCTAACCTCAATAACTGACATCAATTTATAATCCTCATTTAATCCTAGTAAGTAAATGAAAATTCTCAAGGCATTACTTTAACATAGTGTACCGAATCGATTGTACACTTCAAGACGTCCAGCTTGTACATGGTTAAGTTTGTTTCTAAGTTAATAATCATTGAATGATCTCTCTTGTGAAATAAGTTACCAACTATTGTTTTATTCAAACTTTTCTCTCTATTGAAAAAAATAGCTGTTTGTGCCGGTAATTGTGGTGAACGTGGTGAATGTATCAAACCAAACACTTGTATTTGTTCTGATCGACGTCTTCGTTTCAGTTGTAAAGAAGAGGATATCGATGAAGAATCAGATACAATGCAACTTGATCAAGCTGAAAGTGAGTCTATTTTGCATGCATATACTTATAAATATACTGAACGATAACGTCAATAGTTTGTTTGATAGTTAATATTCTACAGAATTACTTACTTACTCAAGCCTGTTACTTCTCGTGAAGAAACATAGACCACTCACCATCATTCTCCATCCAACCCCGTCATGAGCAATCCTTTCAAGCTCTTTCCCCTTGTTATTCATCCTTTTCATATTTGTTCTTTGGCCTTCCACTTTTACACTTCCCTTCAGGATTACAAGTTAGGGATTGCCTCGTGATGCAGTTTGATGAATCGCGTAATGTAAATCTTAACCATATCCTTCGTCTTTTCCTAACTTCCTCTTCAGCTGGAAGTTGATTTGTTCTTTCGCGCAGAAGGCTGTTGCTAATGGTAACCGGTCAATGGATGTTGAGTATCTTGCGTAGACAACTATTTATATTTACTTATACCTTCTTGATAATGGTTGTAGTAGTTCTTCAAGTTTCAGCTACTTACAGGAGAACTGCTGAGACGTTCGTAATGAAGATTGTGACTTTGATTCTGGTTGAAAGTTGTTTTGAGTTCCATATGTTCTTCAATTGTAGGAATGCTATCCTTGGTTTGTCAATCCTTTCCTTTACGTCTGTATCTGATTCTGCTTTTTCATACACTTTACATTACATGTTATATTCATTAGACAGATCCTAACTTAAACAAAGTATAAGCGTAAAGTTTAGTTAGTCTATCAGACAGTGGGAAGATATTCATTGCCGGTTTCGATTATCAGATATTAGCTATGGTTGTTCTCTTTCATCTAAATAAGAAGTTTGTATTTTTTTGGTACCATAACACAAAATAGTTGATGACTTCATGAATTATGGCTTCCTTGAAACTTCTTATAATTATGCTGTTCAGTCATTCTTGTAATATATGACCGATATTCATGTCTGTTTATCTTCACTTTTGAAAAGAATTGGATATTGATTTTCTGGATACATTTAGTAAACGATGCATTCCTTAAAATAAATGAATGGTATGCTGACTACCATTATGAATGCTACTACTACAGTAGTGAATGAGAACACAAGTGAGGACGACTAATTTAGTTTGGTACATAATTATAGAATTTCCGGGTAAAATATGAAGATCATACATTGAATAATTCATCTGCGATATTCAATCGTTTGCTTTTTTCACATTCTGTATGATTTTGCCAAGTCGTAATTCCTTTCTATTTCCGTTACCGTTTACTCCAAGTTAACCTTCATAGCTTTCTGCTGTCATGCATTCCTTTTCTGACTGGTGTTACATAATACCTATATCGTCTGTAGACATAAGTAGTGTACACTACACTAGTACTACATCCTTTTATATGACTACTAATACTACAACATCTGCTATAACCGTTGTTACTATTCATTGTGATGATTGCTTTCGGTACTTCTAATACTTCTATCCTTAATACCATTACTACAACTTCTACTGCTACTACCTCTGCAATTAAGGTTACCTCAGTTTCTGCTGATTACATCAATACTATTATCATGGATACCATAAAACTGATTTACTTAAAGGCATTATTTCTGAAAAAGTAATTTATTCAAGCATTGCAAATAAACATCTGTGTAGTTGACCATATGTTAGTTTAAGAAAATGTGTTCTGTGTAAATATAAACTACTCCAATGATAATTACATCATCAGAACTTGTTGTCTCTATGGCAGAAACATGTTATAAAATAATCACTATTAGAATATATATATATATATATATATATATATATATATATATATATATATATATATATATATATTTGTGAAATTGCCCTAGACAGGGTTGGACGGAGAGTGCTGATGGGCGGCTTATACACCTCCACCAGGAGTAACAGGCGTAAGTAAGTAAGTATATTCGTAAAAGCTAAAGGATTAGTCTAATTTACAAATGATATTGTAGTGAACGAGAACACAGGCGGGATAGCCAAATGTATTTGGACACAGAAATTACAAAATGTCTCAGTAAAATCTGAGAACCATACAGTAAATACTTCATTGGCAAAATGTTAATCATTTGTCTTAAGCTTGACTTTTCCTTTTACAAACATTAGTCAATCGTCTCAGACTTCATTGTTCTTGCATTTTCATACCAATCGCTTTGTGTTCCAGTTCTTCCTTGTTGAACTTTTGCTGCCAGACATTCTAATAATCACTATCGTTATCTACTACTCACGTCGATATAAGTAGCTCACGTCACAATATCAGTTAGGAAAAAGAGAAAAACCTACACACAACCATAAATTCCTGAAAAGATACTTTACTATGGTTTAAGAGTACTTGATCGATAGATTTGGATCATCATTATGGACTAGACAAACATGATATTCATCACTACTACTCAACCATCAGTGAATGTGAATGTTTCATTTAAACTAGAAGTCAATTACTATCTGATTACCTGAGTAGTAACGTTTCATATCATTAAAAATAGATGATGCAGTTCACCTGAGATCCTAGGTAGGTGTTGTTAATGAGTGAAAATAATCACTAAATCAAGATTTAGGTTTGATTGTAAGATCACTTCAAATCATCTTATGTCAAAATCACACAACAGACTGTAACGATAACTTGCTGTTCTATTATCAGCTATTATTTCATCGAGTCACTGTTTTAAAATTCACAAAGATTAGATTTTTATTATTTGTGTAACGTAATGACACCGACAATTAGAGAGTAGTGACTTATTGACCGGACCAATGATGTGTAAAACAAGTTCGAGCAGTCTAGAGTCCTTAACGGTCCTGCTTCCTGCCTAGCCCTGCCTAAGAGGTCCAGAACACCAATTTCAGCCTCTAAGATATGAATTGTGTATTTCAAACATATTTGGTTTATATACAAACCGAACGTACCACATCGCATCATAAAAGAGAAAATAAAATTTATGCAAGTTCTAGTAAATTTAGCTGTGATTATGGGAGACCGTAATTCATAGACTGAGCATAACTTAAGAATGGTAAAGCTAGAACAAACAGTGATGCAGAATAATATGAATTCACCATGTTTCGTGGTTTCTGATAAGCTGCTTACAACCAAATTTGTATTAGGATTTTACACTGAGGTGGGAAACAGTATGCAGTAATTGACGTAAGTGGAAAAGACTTGTAGCTTAGATGGATGATTTTGATGGAGTTTTGTTCTCCGAGGTGGATGATTTGGTCGACCATTTGGTCGCCTATACCCTAACGGGTAAAGGTTCAGGGATTAGAGTCGCTCTTCATAAGGCTTGAACCTAAGTCCCCGAATTGATTTCGTGGCTAGCCGTTGGACACGTTCCAGAATGTCCTTTTCCTTTTGAAGTGAGGGAGGAAGTATTATGTCTCCGTACTCTAACTGGGTACTCATAAAACTGCTGAAGGTTATATGGAAAGTTGTTTCGTGAAACTGGCCAGAAATGAGCCCCAATATTACCAGTGAATGGTTTGCTCGAAAGGCATTTTTGTCAAAGTCAACGTAAGACTTCAAATCGTAGGGCACCAGAACTCCTAAATCTTTTTCAACTTGGAATACTTCTAGAGGGGAGTTGTCTAAGTTTTAGCTGTAGTCTACAAGATGTCTCAGATGGACTACTTTACACTTTGAAGTGTTAAATGTAAGTCCGTTATCATCTGCCCAACTTTGAAGTCGAGTCAGATCCTCCTAAAGTGTCAGTATATTCTCTTCGTTGCGTATCGCTCTCTCTCTTTCTCTCCGAAATTTCACATCATCAGCAAAAACTATCAAGTCAGACGACATCCGTTGTGGCAGATCATTTATATAAATCAAGAAAACAAGAGGTCCTAGTACTGAACCTTGAAGGAACCCACTAGGTGATTTTGTTCATTTTCATAGCATTACTACAAATTAGTTTCTATCCGTCAACAATGAATTTCAACTACTTAGTTACCATGTGCTTTTGTTATTTCGATTATTAGCAACCACTTTTGACAAAAATTCTACTTATTTTTTTAGTGAATTATCATCAAAAATATCAATTTTTCTTTTTCTTTTTTGAAAAAAGTTTTTTTCTTTTTCAGATTTTTTTCTTTTTTGTTGTTTTGTTTAACCTTTAAATACTTTCACACTAAAAGCTCATCAGCTGACTTTGACAAGAATTTTGTTGTTTTTGTTCTTTCATTGTAAATTTCATTTGGTTTTAATATTCATTTGGTATTGTCTTAGATGTTGGTTGGAGGTAGTTGACAGGATACCCTGGACCCAGCTTTCGTGCTACTTGGCACTCGTCAGCATGGTGTACCTGTAATCTTGAGGGAACGGGTGCTCTCTGACGGATTCCATCCCGTCTCACCCAGCTTCACAGTCAGAGACATTACCACTGAGCTATCCGGGCTGCGACCAACCTTCTGTAGGACTGAGATGTAATCACAATTGATTGACCACTGTGTGGTGACCAATGCCATGTGTATTGTTTTACTTGTATCTTCCTTTGATGGATGTTTATGATTACAATTGAACAGTTTCATATTGGCATATATGCATCTTGTGTGGATTGACTAGTAACAGCCTTAATTTATAAGCTCGTTTTAAATAAAGATGAATAGTGGCTAGAAGTGGAATCTAGTTCGACGCACGTCTTGTCCTATTTAGGACTCATCAGTTGAATATATTTGCATCTCAGAGTTGATATTCACTCTTGCACTTGAACTCAATTCAAATAATTCCTAACACCATCGTATCATCCACTTAACTATTAAATCCTGATAGTCAATTGTTTGTGCAATGGGATGAAGTTTTAAATTCACTTGGTATTGTTAACTTTAATCTACCTATTGATATTTAGAACTTCAATTGATCAGTCTTTTATTGGCATATGTACATCCGGTGTGGATTGACTAGATATTATTTTAAGTGACAATCATCCTAAGCAAAGATAGTTTAGTGACTAGTAGCGGAATCCAGGACGCGCGTTTCGTCCTATTTAAGACTCATCAGCTGGATGTACCTGCATCTCAGAGTTGATGTTCACTTTGTGACTCGAAACCAATGCCACTCGCTTCAGACGCTATCGCGTTATCACAACTTATAATGCTTGTGAATGAAGGTCATATCGAGGTAATATGAACACTACGCACATATAACAATAAGATATTGATCAATTTCAGTCCTAAACAACAATAGGAAGATTCAAGTAAACAATATCAAGTGAAATTAAACTTCATCTCGTTGTACAAGCAAGTGATTATCAGGACTCAGTAGCTAATTGAATAACACGTTGACTATTGAAGCGAACGGTACTGGGTTCGAGTTCCAGAGTGAACATTAACTCAGATGCAGTTGCATCCGACTGACAAGTCCTAAATAGGACGAAACGTTTGTATTGGATTCCACTGCTAACCATTATCCATCTTTGCTTATAATCTTTATTATTATAGTTGGTTTATTATTACTGTAATATATTCCTAAATCTTTCTGCTTAGCGTTTTTAGCGAGTTAGTTTTCTACGGGATGGGGTCGCTAACCCCATGCCCAACCTTCCTCCCTTATCCAAGCATGGGACCGGCAGTAGCCCCAGAGGGGCTCCAGGAGGGGATAAATATTTCTACATAATTGGATTAAATAAGTACATAAATTCTATGATAAAACTTTATTTAAAGAATCCAATGAAACTAATTTTGGACAATTTTCTAATATTGACGAATATTCATATAGAAGATCAATTTATCTCACCGAAGAATGTCTTTTTAGAATCCGGTATATTCTCTATAAAGAGCTTGAATCTTATCATTTAAACGATATTTTCAATAGTTAAGATCATGAGTCAGTTTAAGCTAGACCACCGCAGAAAACCAGGATGAACTGGACGACCGTTTTTTCCTATTGTGGGACTACCCAGTAGTTCGCATTCACGATCCCGCCTTACGAGATTCGAACCCAGGACCTATCAGTCTTGCGCGCAAGCACTTAACCATTAAAACACTGAGCCGGCATCCAAGGGTGTTAATGTTTAATTTCAACCAATCCACGAAATTCAGCGACACATCCACTATTTTTTTCAGTGAGTTACTACCTAACAACATACCCGGTTGAACTCCAGTAGTCACTGATCACTAGAACTGCAAGAAAAACCTCTTGAAGCCAGTACACGCATTTTGTAGAGATATTTAAATTTCTTTAGTTTACTGGAGTTCTAATATGATGACACTTCTAGTAGACGTTAGTAATTGTGGATATGGGATAATTACCTACCACAACTGGAATCAGAATATTCATTAAATTGATTGAAGTTAGACTATTGGATCTAGGCTCTACAGCTTGAGAAGTTATGAGGTCTCTAAAAGATCCAAAGATTCTGTATTCGATATTGATGAGGTAATAGATGCTGTCTACAGAGGATTTATAATATAACTCCAGTTGCATAACTAAATTTTTACAACTCCCTATACCTAAAATCAATGTTTGAGAGAATTAATTATAATATCAATTTACCAACAATCTGACTACATATAGAAACAGCCATCCAATGCTTCCAGGTTGTCCATGGTGGTCTAGCTTCAATCGACTTATGATTTCAACCAGTGAAATTTCTGAAATCTCCACAAAACCCCTTCTGACAAATTACAGATCATTCAAATCATTGTAAATTAAATATAACCAATTACTTATCATTATTATTTTTCATTTATCATTAAAAGATCAATGTCCGGATAATTGTAATGAACATGGAACATGTGAAAATGGAGCATGTATTTGTCGAACAGGATATAGTGGATTAAAATGTGAAAGTATGTGATCTTTTTCAACTACTTTTTCTAATGTGTATTGATAATGGACTCTTTATATTCATTAAGATTATTTAACTAATATTGATCTCCTTTTCAATTATCTTCCATGATGGTGAAATGCATTATTGTGTTATAATCAATATGACACATGTTGAATAGTATACTCAAAGCATAATTAGTTAGTTGTGACGATGTTATAGTAATTTTAATAGTTTAGATGATGAGTTAATTGAAGCTAGGTTAAGCGCTTCTGTGCACACTGCTGAGGAGTTCCACAATAGGAAGAAAAGGTCATCAAGTGCTACCATGGTGATCTGGTTTTGCAGAAATTCACCCAGTTGCATGGGTTGAAATAAGGAATTATGATAAGGAGTTTCAGTTATAACTTCGGTTTACAAATTAGAGTTAGGATTTTTAACATAAACTGGTATCAGTTATAATGCCGAAATATTATTTATCCATCCCAGTCAGTCAGCAGCAACGTAGAACTTCGTACGTACGTACATCAGATCGAGCTGCCATACCATATTAACACAATTGTTGATTCAAATCCCATAGTGGTAGATGTAGTAGAAGTATAAGCAGTAGTCGAAAAGATTAGGGTTTGAAGATGTTATTCAATGAGTATAATCCAGGGAAGTAAATTTGAAAAAAGGAAAGAAAGGAACATCAAGAAATCTATTCTCATAATTATTGTCTCTGTTCATTGAATAAGCATAAATATGAAACCTAGGTTTATAGTTTTCTGTCAGTAGTATCCGATCACCAAACGTCTTTGTATAGAGCAGGACAAGTTGAGTTACTTATATTCGTGGTCAAATTACGTATCGATCGAAAGAATACGGTCATTAATACTTACTTACTTATGCCTATTACTCCCAATGGAGCATAGGCCGCCGACCAACATTTTCCAACACACCCTGTCCTGGGCCTTCCTTTCTAGTTCTATTCAATTGTTGTTCATTCTTCTCATATCCGTCTCAATTTCTCAAGGTAATATGTTCTTTGGTCTTCCTCTTCGCCTTTAGCCTTGAGGATTCCAAGTAAGGACAATAAAAAAAGTAATAGACTTTATAAAGTAGATATTGGTTGCCTCGTAGGGATCTATCAAAATAATCTGAATACATATATGTTATTACATAGTTCCAATAATGAAAGTACTATTATGATGCGTGCTACTTATATTGACATAAGTAGTATATAACACGAGTCAGAAATGTAATGTCTGGCAGCAGAAGATTGGGAAGATCAAGAAAGGAAGAAAGGGAACAGAAAGCAATTAGTATAGTAATGCAAGAACAATGAAGTCCGAGACAATTACTGAACATTTTGCTAATTAGGTATTATAGTATGGTTCTTCTATTTTACCAAGTAACGCTGTAATGTTGCTGACAAAGCGTTATCACTATATACCAATGAAAAAAAAGTATAAGATTGAAGAATAAATAACTCTATTTCCTAATAAATATCCTTTGGTGCTTTTTGTGACTTTAAGCCTGACTAATTGTTACGCAATATATTCTCCAATCGAAATGCAACCTATACAATCTTATTACTATGCCAAACTAATGACGTTCGACTGGTATAAGCAGTCTAGCGTCTTTGTTAGTCTTTTGTCCTCCTAGCACGCTGTCAGTTGAGTCCACAACACCAATATCAGCTTCCACTATATGAATCATTTATTTCATACATACTTGGTTTATATACTAAACAAACAGATCAAATCACATCATAAAACAGAAAATAACATTTGTACAAGATCTAGCCCAAAAGTGGCTGTGATTATGGCAGATTGTAATCAATAAACTGAACATAATTTATGAACAGCAAATTGTATAACAATAATTCATAGATCAAATGGAAGCTTACAATAAGAAGAATATAGATATGTACAATGTAGCTACTGAATTGTTATGCACTAAGAATACACGTGTAATTTTAGTCCATTAATAGTTCTCAGAAGTTACTTGTAATTTAATATTTCACAGTGAACAAACTTCTATTGGAATAGTCAGTTAGGAATTAGTGATCTAAGTTTATACCTTCAAATGATTTGAAATGAATTGAGATATAGACTTGATATTTCATCAGTTGTAAGAAAAATAAAGAGAGATATACTACTGAAATGTTTAGTTTAGACTTTATTATCTACCAACAGTTGAGATCACTAGTCAATTGAGGCTAGACCATAATGGAAAACCTGAAAGCACTGGACGGCTGTTTCGTCTTATTGTTGGACTCCTCAGCAGTGCGCATCTACGATCATGACCTCACGAGATCCGAACTCAGAACCTATCAGTCTCGCGTGTTGACACTTAACTTCTAGACCACTTAGCCGTCTGGCATCCAACGGTGTTAATGTCTAACTTTAACTAATCCACGAAATTGAGCGACACATCTACCATTGTCATCAATGAGTTACTACCTCACTGTTACTACCTCAACTGCTGGAATTACTACGATCTCCATAAAATCCCTTCTGATATTTATTCTCTACATTTTTGTTTTGTTCATTTTTACAGTTAAACTAACAGGTGCTTGTTACATAACATTGAAACGTGGATTATGTGTTAATCCAATGCAATATAGAATATCTCAATATGACTATGAAGCTATTCCATTAACTCATGAAGTATGTTGTAATGCATTAGGAATTGCATGGGGTGAACCATGTCAAATTTGTCAAAGTACACATTGTGGAAAAGGATATGAACAAATTGATGGAGTATGTAAAGGTGAGAAGTTTGAAATTTAATGCTAAATGTGGTATTAGTCCTTTTTTGAATATTTATAGATTACCATCACCAGATTCGTTTTTTTGGTTAGCTTTTTTTAGCGGGTTAGTTTTCTACGGGATGGGGTCGCTAATCCCATGCCCAACCCTCCTCTTTTGCCAGGGCCTGGGACCGGCAGTAGCCTCCGGAGGGACTCTAGGAGGAGTTACCACCACCAGATTACTAAGTTAAATCTAGTCTTGTTAGTTAACTTATGACATTTTTATTTGAACAGACAGATATCAAGTTTATGAATGGTGTAGTTTTTGATTTAATGAATATTATCAACATAACAGATTGTTATCAGAAAGGAGACTTTTTGTGAAGATTGTAGTATTTTAATAGTTGAATTCATGAGTCGATCTAAGCTAGATCATCATGGAAAACCTGGAAGAACTGGATAGCCGTTTTGTCCTAGCATGGAACTCCATAATAGTGCGTATCTACGATCGTGAATTGATTGAAGTTAGACATTTACACCGTCGGATGCCAGATCAGTCGTCTAGAGGTTAATCATTCGCATGCGAGTCCAAAGGTACTGGGTTCGAATCCCACTGGCGTACGGGATCGTGGATGCTTACTGCTGAAGAGTACCACACTAGGATGAAACGACCGTTCATGTTTGTACGACTCAATAAATCTTTTCAAAAGAATCTGGTGAATAAAATAAAAATATTTTATTGTTATGGTAATATTTTGCTGTCAAGCACTTCTGATTCATCCATAGTACGTTTTATAAAAAGAGGAAAAATGTATGTCTTAACCAACTCACTGATGAGATCTAAGTAGTGATTATATTGCGGCTGTTATTCATTAATTTTCTTTGCATTATTTACACCGTCAACTGATCTTAGTTTGACGACCATTGAAAACCATGAAACACTTAGGAGAGTATTTGTCCAAGTGTGAGGTTTTTCAACAGTGTACATACATGATCACACCACCACAGATCAAACTCGAAACCTTCAATCTCGTGAAAAGAGCTTGATCTTTAATCTACTCAGCCAACATTCAGTGATTCATCTCAGTCATAGCGTAAAATAGTCATCGTCCAATCTCATCAGCGGCTAACTGAATCCCATTCCTTTGTCATTTTCGTCTTGGTTCAAACAATTTTAGTTACGTATGAAAATTTGGCAACAAATGCAATTGATCATATCCTAGACGAATATAGCATTAATGCAAATTCTTGTGTATGTGAATCATTTTCTTCTTTATGGCCAGAGTATAACAGTAACTCCCCTGAATCTAGTCTTTGTTATCCAATCTGTGTCCATTGTGTTTCACCGATTCCAAGCACCTCCAGGTTTTGTCTTTTCACTTCTGCAGCAATTTGTATGACTCTCTCATTTTCCCACACTGTATGAACATTCCATGTACCTAAGTTAATAGTTGCTCTGGCTGTCAGAAGGGCTATCAGACTCGTGACTTCCGAAGGAACTCGGCTTTCACCATGAGACGTCATAACTCTTCTGATTGAAGACATTCTAACTCCCAGGGTAGAGTTTAAATGGTTTGAATTATTTTTTCTGATTAGTGTTTTTAGCGCGTTAGTTCTATACAGGATGGTGTCGCTAACCCGATGCCCGACCCTCCTTCTTTATCTGAGCTTGGGATCGGCAGTAGACCCAGAGGGGCTACAAGTGGAGTTACTAGACAAATATACATAGGATGAATTCGACTGGATTCCTGAAATTCAGCATGCATATTAATGTTCTTATTATGGTTAATGACAACTGTTTGATGTTTTTATTTATATTAAGATATTAATGAATGTGAAGTGGATGGAGTTTGTCAACGAGGTCAGTGTATCAATGAAGAAGGATCATACAAGTAAGTATTAGTTGAAAACTAATTGTAAGTTAATTATAATCATGACTTGATTTGAATTTATAATTTTTCTAATAACTAGAAGTCAATATAATTGCTTCATCTTGTTATTGATACTCAGAGTCAACAAATCTAGATAAATATTGATTGCATAACATAACAAGATGAACTTTTAAATTCCATTCACAAGGTATGGTAAACAATGAGACAACTGGGAGTAAAAGAAAATGAAATACCGAAGGATTGGGAAATGACTGCGTTAAACTATAGGTTATGACTACAATGAAAAGGTTTCTTCCTGGCCTAACAAAATGCTTCAAGGATACAAAAGCTCACTATCATACTCAATCTAAGGATCTGGAAGTCATCATATTGATCTTATATGAGTTGATAGTTGATCCATTGTTGCAATGTTCTAAAGCAGATTGGAACATACATAATCATTGGTCAGAAGGTTCTCAACTGTTCTGTAATGTAATGCTAATTCGATATTTAAATCAATTTGTAGCTGAATATGAACACAGATGAGCTGGAAAAAGAAATAAATCAAACCATCAGAATCATAAGATATTTTATAAGATCCTTTGGCTCGTAGAAAAAACTCCCCTGAAATAATTCACCAGAACAATAAATCTGCAACATTAACTTAAAATAGTTAGACCACCATTAAAAATCTGGAAGCACTGGACGGTCGTTTTGTTCTAGCATAGGACTCCTCCTCCCACACGCAGAATTCGAATTCAGAACCTTCAATATCTCACGAGAACGCTTAACCTCAAGACTACTGAGCCACCACTTAACGGTGTTAATGTCTCACTTCACTTGATCCATGATCTTGCACAACCCTTCATTCATTGTCTGTGGTGGGTAACTGTCTCACACGCGACATGGATTGGACCCCACTGGTATTGGCTTTCTTTCTTAAATCGGTTTATGTGCAACTACGCCAGGAAATAAATAACAATGAACTGGAAAATGTTATGAAGACAGATAATTATGATTGTGGCATAATAAAATTACGTAACTATTACTTAACATTAAGTACGATATTGTTAGGATGAAAGGATTTTACGTGATTAACTCATGGGTGTTAGTCAATATCTTTCAAGGTATTGTAAATCAATCTTACTTACTTAAGTCTGTCACTCCTAACGAAGCATAGGCCACAGAATAACATTCTCAAACCCACTCTGTCCTAGGCTTTCCTTTCTACTTCTATACAATTCTTCTCATATCTGTCTCGACGTAGTGTGTTCTTTGGTCTTCCACTTTTCTTTTGTCCTTAAGGATTCCATGTGAGGGCTTGTCTTGTGACACATTTCGGTGCTTTCCTGAATGTGTGTCCTATCCACTTCCAGTACTTCTCCATGATTTCTTCGTTCACTGGTATCTTGTTTGTTCTCTTCCATAGTAGGTTGTTGCTGATAGTTTCTGGCGAACGAATCCAAAGTATTTTGCATAGATAACTGTTAATAAACATTTATGCATTCTAGATGATGATTTGCATAGTTCTTCAAGTTTCCGCCCTATACAGTAGAACTATCTTGACATCTGTACTGAAAATTCTGACTTTGGTTTTGGTTGACAGTTATTTTGAGCTGTAAATGTTCTTCAGTTGTAAGTATGCTGCTCTTGCTTTACCGATCCTCACTTTCACATCTGCATCTGATCCACCGTATTCACCAATGATCATTTATTGTTATTATTAATGGATATATTCAATATTACGTTTTGGTACAATACAAAATTCTCAGTACAGGGGATTTCAACAAGTTTCTTCTGCAAAAACAAAAATCAAAAACAAAGACAAAAAAAGGAAAAAATGTTTTTACATCTTCCAAATCTTCTCCGTCAATTGTGATTGGATTGGTGCATGTTGTGTTCTATCGTAGAATCTTGCTTTTTCCTTTGTGTATGTTGAAACCTACTACTTCTCAGACTCCTGTTACACTGGTCGTCTTCTCCTACATTTGTTGTTGCGTGTATGATAGAATAGCCAGATCATCTACGAAGTCTAGATCGTCCAGATGGATCCTAGCTGTCCACTGTATCCCATGTTTCCCATCAGATGTTGACGTCTTCATGATCCAGTCGATCACCAGGATAAAGAGGAAAAGTGAGAGTAAACAACCTTGCCTGACACCGATCTTTGCCTTGAACGAGTTTGTCAATTGTCCTCCATGAACGATTTCGCAGTTCCATCCATCATAGGAATTTCGTATGATATAAATCTGACCTAAGTCAATTCATGATCTACTAATTTCCATACTTACAAGAAAATGATTAATTTCTAAAGTCTGATAGAAATTTATTATACACTATTGATTTATATGAATAATTCAACCTCTGAGATTTTGTAGTACCATCCATCGGTATGGTTTACTGGAAACCTGAAATAATGACTCTTCAAAGTAGTTTTATATTATCAAACTCTTGAACAAAATTAGGGTGATGACTAGTTAATCTGTTATTTGTAATCCTTTTGCAAGTATTATACCTGATTCTTACTTACTCATTTCCTTACACCCGTTACCCGTCATGACAGCATAAATTACAGATTGAGATTCTCCAACCTAATATGTTCTCAGCTCTCCTTTCTTATTATACCATATATTGTCCATTTGCTTCTAATTCCCAGTTCAATGAGTTCTTTGATCTGCCACTTTTTCTTTATTCTTTAAGAATCTAATTTATGACTTATCTAATGATTCAATTTGATGATATCTTCAATGTTTGTTCTACCCACCTTCAGAATGTTCTGCTAATTTCCTCTTCAACTGAATAGTTCTAGTTCTTTCAACAGTTGAGATCATGAGTCAGTTGAAGCTAGACCACCACGGAAAACCTGGAAGCACTGGAAGGCCGTTTCGCCCTATTGTGGGACTCCTCAGCGGTGAGCATCCACGACCCCACCTCACGGGATTCGAACCTAGTTCTAGTTGCCTAGTTCTCTATCATTGTAGGATGTATCTGATAGTACTCGACAAACGGATGATTCTTAACAGAATATAAAACCGATTATATGAGTGTTATATAATTTAAGAGTTAAGAATTCTTACTATACTAAATAAGTAATTAAATATGTTTGTTTTATTCGTTTACATTTCAGATGTAATTGCCCAGAAAATACACATTTTGATAAATCAACATTAGATTGTGTTTACACATTAAGTAAGTTAATCCTATCAGTAATCACTTTCTCAAAGGATTTTATTTCAATAACCGTCAACTTCCAGTCATAATTTACTTAAATCATCAGAAAGGAGTTTTGGTGGAGATTGTAGTAGTAGACTTCATAAACAGTGGAATTCAACTGAGTCTGTTGTGAGATAGTAACTCACTGAAGACAATAGTGAACGGTGGTGTAATTTCATGGATTAGTTGAAGTTAGACATTAACACCGTTGAATACCAGCTCAATGGTCTAGAGGTTGAGCGTTCTCGCGCGAGTTCGGAAGTCCTGAGGTCGTGGATGTGCACATACTAGGATGAAATGACCTTCGAGTGTTTCCAGGTTTTCCATGATGGTCTAGCTTTAATTGACTCATGAATTCAATTCAAATCACTAGAACTCAATGATGGTTTAGACGTTTTTAGTTTCGCTCTTGTGCAGATTTATATGTGAAGTGAAATTTTTAAGCTTCTGTGTTTTTTTTCTAAATAAGCTGCTTAAAGCATTCAGTTAATTTTCAATCGTATGTATAAAGCATAAAACAAATATTCAATGAATAAAGTGTCTTTACCAACTTACTGACGATACTGGGAAGATGTATTCACACATTCATTTATGTTTCTAATTCACTTTTCTTATTATCGAACTTTTTATTTCCCTTTCTCTTCATATCAGAACTTAATTAAAAAAGGCACTTATATGAGGTACAGAATATATGAAGAAAACTGTAACAATTCATCTGTCCAAAGGTTGGAATGAACCATATAGGCACGTAACAATTACAAATGCTAAAATATAGATGACTATGCGGAATATGTAATCATTTCCTCATACATTCAAACAAATATACACATTTTCTGAATATCAGTAGATCGGGATAGCAAACACTGCAATGTTATTTTGACTTTAAGGCTCAATCTGACATATTGTTTCTAACATTCCAGCTGGGTAGGATAATTGTCCGTTTATTCGGAGTGCATCTACTTCTCAATGTTCAACTTGTGTGCAATATCTAACATTTTTCTGTTCATTTAATCAGTGGAAACTCTATATATGTACATAACTTTCATCAGGGATTTCATTTTATGTGGTTGAAATGAAATTCCCAGTAAACATTACTCACTTGTATAAGAGACTGATACACGAGTTTGGTTACGGTCATAGCCTCCAGTTGAATTGATTTTCAAAGTTGAGAAGATATGCTAAGACTTATGATTCAATAAAATATTATCTAAATTATCAATCTACCATTTTTATTTCCTCTAACAATAAGGATCTAAGGTAAATAACTGAAATAGTGGAGAAGATTTGTAGCTCAGTTGGATGATTTGATGAAGTTTTGTCCTCTGAGCTGGATGGTTTGGTCGTGGAACTTTCATCGTTCTTCTAAACGACATAATCAGCACAAACTTCAGGTAGACGTTTGTGCTGAAGCTGTCGTTCAGAACAGCGATGAAAGCTTCATGACCAAACCATCCAGCTCGGAGAACAAAACTCCACCTAAATAACTGAAAATTTATTCATCTTGAAAGCTACATTTCAAAGATGTATGTTTTTCACTGATAGTATATTGTTGAATAGTATTTCTGCATCAGTTTATATATCCTATTGAATTGTATGTATTCATCTTGTTTTTTTCTAGTTAGCGTTTTTTTATCGAGTTAGTTTTCCGTGGGATGGGATCTCTAACCCCACGTCCAACCCTCCTACTTTATCCAGGGCTTGGGACCGGCATTAGCCCCCGGAGGAGCTGCAGGGGGAGTTATTCATCTTGTTAACACGTATAATACCGTTTCCACAGTATAATAAGTAAATCTTTGTCTTTTAATGATATCTTCCTGTTTATTAATAAATTTTATCTTTATAATTCAATAATTAGAAATGCCATGTGAGTTAGATCCTCACAGATGTCATAATGGAGGAAAATGTATAGATCTACCAAGTGGTGATTACAAGTGTATATGTCCGTGGGGAACTAGAACTTCACAAGATAGAAAATCCTGTAAGTTACCCTTAAAAAAATGTTATCACATAGTTCTTTAAGAGTATTGAATTTTATATTTTTAAAAACTAATTTGTGATGAATTACAAAGAATTTAGATGGAGAAACTTAATCAAAGTTACCATTTATTCAAACTGTACGATCCTATTCATTCATTTAACAAAAGAACTTTCTGAGATCCAAATATCAAACAAAAAGTTTTGTAATAATCGATATGTTGCCAGGAAGAGTCTCTAAATGCCCTGGTACGGCTGATTGTGGGAATAGTCAGCTCTCTTGCTCGAAATGCTCTCACAAGAACCCATGCATACAACCCTTGTCAGGGAAGTCCTACTTACTGCCTTCTAGTGACACTACTGTTGTTTACGAAATTAAGAGGACGAAAACTGAATGTTCGATGCTTTAAACGGATTGGTTGATATTCAGGATCTACCTAAGGGAGTTACATGAATAACCCTGATTCCAAACCAATGGTGCACATGGTCGCCAGTATCCTGTAAGAACAAGTGGCGTATGAACCAATCGTTGGTCACCGGCTATCATGGTACTGCATCTCCTGATGTTTCTTCACTGCCTTGAGAATCAAACCTTCAGGTCGATGATTCTGGGTGTGGCCTCCTAAGAGAACCATGTGTTTCTATTTGGCCACCCGGACAGTATCCTAGCCCTCATAGAAATCAAATGGTTTATGTGGCACATATGTATTTGGTGCCTTCTTGTAGGAATGTTTATGCGTTTAAATACATAAATGCCAAAAATACAAGACGAAACCAATTCCATAAGAGATAACTTTTCATGTAATAAACATGGGGAAGGTAAAGAATTCAATTGATATCTTTGAAACTTTAGAACAATAGACGAAAGCATTAATTAAATATATTAGGATGATTATAGAATAACAGCTTGCACATTTCATTTTTGCACATAACGTTCTAATGTAAAATAACGAATCACTAACATCTCTTCAGTGCATAAGTTATTGAATTGTGCTCTCTTTGAGCCCAGTTATTTGATCGTTCAAATGGTCGAATATATACAGTATTGTCAGGAAAATGATTTCCTCACTGAATGGTCTTTCATTCTTCTTTAAATACCCAACGTGTTTCTATCATAAACTGGAAAGTGATATTCACTTGGATTGACCAGACTAAATTATTTGAAGTTCGAATTAGTAGACCATTGCTTAAAAGTTGAGATGTTTAGCGGAAATAACATGGTATTTCAATAACCAGTGAATTCTCAGATCGGGTTTTGTGGAGATTTCGGAAATTTCACTAGTTGAAATCATGAGTCAGTTGAAGCTAGACCACCATGAAAAACCTGAAAACAATGGACGGCCGTTTCGTCCTAGTATGGGACTTCTCAGTAGTGTGCATCTAAGATTCTGCCCCTCGCGAGGACGGAACCCAGGACCTATCAGTCCCGAGCGCGAGCACTTAGCCACTAGACCACTGAATCGGTATCCGAGGGTGTTAATGTCTAACTTCAACTAATCCACGAAATTGACTGACACATCCACCATTGTCTTCAGTGAGTTAGTATCTCAGAACAGACCCGGTTGAAATCCACTGGTGAATACTTCTCACTAGAACTCCAGGATATACCTCGTGAAGCCAGTCACTAGTGAGCATAAATACTGCATAATCTTAAGAAACTCCAAAATGAATAACTGACTGACTGTTACTATTCATATATACATCCATTTTTATTTCATCTGAACATGTTTATAAATATAATGAAATGTAACAAGAAAAGAAAAAAATATGATCCAAATCAATTCCCGATCAGATTAAAACAAACAATAATCATGATAAAACTAAAAGGAATGACCGAAAAATGAAAAAATGGGAAGGTAACAATAACAAATGGAGAGAAATAAAATTTAAAAAAGGGTAAAACACAGACTTTGTTATATAGAATAGATGGAATGAGGTTAGTAATGAAATCTAGGACAGATATTTGATTCTATTTAGTATTTATTAGTTAAATGTACCTGAATCGCAGATTTAAAGTTTATTGAAGGACTCGAACCTTGTACTACTGACTTAAAATTTTAACGTGTTATATACTTAGATACTGAGATCAGATAGCTATTTTTTGGTGTAATAGGTATGACTTATTTACTTACTTAGTTACTTACGCCTGTTACTCCTCGTGGAAGAATGTTATGATTTGTTATTCGCTTGAATGCTATTACTGGTGCGTCTTACTCAACGGAACGAAGGATCAGTGACTCAGTGACTCGATAGCTATTCTGGTTCGTTGTCCCCCAACTCTGCTAATTTGATCAAGAAGTCTGGGTAAGGTGTAGAAGTGTATTCTGCAGACACACAGCAGATAACAAGTCAAGTCAAACACACAACTCAAGCGTATTTATACAAATATTTACAATCGATATTGTCATAGAAAATTTTTTAAACACTAATCAATGAGTTCATAAGTTGACCTATTTGAACATCTAATTGATAGGTTCATCAAGTGACTGCTATTCAAACATTTAATCGATCAGTTCATCAATTGACCCCAATACAAATATTTAAACATTTAATCAATAAGTTGATCGATACGATAAAATTTAAAATATGAGTTTGGGGATCTAGCGTCCCCAACAAAGAGCATAGGCCGATCACTAACACTTTCTATCCAATCCTGTCCTAAGCAATCCCTTCCGGCTCTTTCCACTTGTTATTCAGCTTTTTCATATATGCTTCCCTTTCCCAACGTAATGTGCCTTTCTTCAGGATTTCACGTTAGCGTTTGCCTCGTCAGGCAGTTTGATCATTTCCTCAATGTATGTCCTATCCATTTCCATCGTCTTTTCATAATTTCTTCTTCAGCAGGAAGTTCGTTTGTTCTTTCCCACAGAAGGCTGTTACTCATGATATCCGGCCAATGGATGTTGAGTATCTTTTGTAGACAACTATTTATAAATACTTATACTTTGTTGATGATGGTTGTAGTAGTTTTTCAAGTTTCAGCTCCTTACAGTAGAAATATTTTGACGTTCATATTGAAGATTGTGACTTTGATATTGGTTAGCAGTTGTAAAAATACGTCTCTTGCATCTGGTCCTCCTTGCTCATCAATTATGCTTGTCAGGTACGTGAAGGATTCCACATCTTCCAGAGTTTCGCCATCAAGTGTGATTGTGTTGTAATTGATGATCTTGCTTTTTCTTTTGTGTATGTTGAGGCCTACTGATATAAAGGCTGCTGCTACACTAACCGTCTTCATCTGCCTTTGTTCATGTTTATATGATTGGAGGACTTGTTCATCTGCGAAGTTCGAATCGTGTAATTGGTTCCAAGCTGTCCATTGTATTCCATATTTTCCCTCAGAGGTCGATAACACGTATAAACTTTAGTTTTATTTAATTTCATGCAGATGTATGTTATAATGGCTATATCGCGTTAACTTACGCAACTGAAACTGAACAATTTTCAGTCATAGTATCAACAACCGGATAATCTAATATGTTAAAATCAAATAAGGGTATGTTTTTCTTTCGAATAATTGTGATTGTTAGTGTTAGCTAATTGAAAGTAGTCGACACAAAGCTTTCAATGGATATATTTTGCATTAATAAACATTTTCCTGTGAAAGTGTACTCCTGTAGAGAACGAGAACAAAAGTGGAGACAATCGAACATATTTGAATACAAAATTAAAAAAATATCTTAGTAACATCTGAGAACCATACAGTAAATAGTTCATTTGCAAAATGTTAATCAGTTGTCTTAAACTTGACTATTCCTTCTACAAAATGTTGATCAATCATCTCAGACGTCACTGATCCTTTATTTCCACAGCTATCATTCTTTGTTCTTGTTCACTTTTCTTCGATCTTCTTAACCTTCTGCCATCAGATATTTCACTTTCGATTGCTGATACATACTACTTATATCTATCAACATCAGCATCACACACCACATCCCAATACCGAAAAGAATTTGTCTCCATCAAATAATCTGACTATAAATCATTGATTACCACAATGATAGAGAGATTCGGAGATTCTTGGGCTTTGATCAAAGTTCTTTAAGACTAATATGATTTATTCGAACTGATTACTGTAAAGTAATTAAATGCTAATCGATTAGTAACGTGCTAACTAACAAGATATATCAAATCTATTGTTTCTTCTGACTATATTTGGTTGTCTTTGACACCTTAGTGTAATATACAACAATATCAAGTGATTTCAGACAGTATCCATATTGCAAACATAATTGGTGGGGAGTTTAATAGGCTTTAAAAACTAAATCATCGCATAAGATTAGCAACATTCGGAATTAAATTAATGACAAACAATAATTTATTCAGATTCTAATCTTATTTTGGTCTACTTAGTAGTGTTTATAGCTATTTATTAATTGGAGGTAGTCTGTAGAGTACTCGTTTAACCTGTATTTGGTGCTGATTCACACTGTATGATAAGACCGACTTACAATCATGAGCTTTACTACTCAATGACCACTTAATATAAATGTATCGATCCTATAAGAAGTCAACTGTTATCCAAGTGGGGAAATGTTAAATTCTCATATTCTCATATTCATCAGAGAGCGTCAGTACTTTTACAATTGTAGATACATTTTACTAAAATGTTCAAGCTAGAATGAAACCTAGATTGAGTATAGTTTCTTATTTATTTACTTAAACATATAAATATTGGTACAAAAAAGGCACCAAATACATATGCCCCACATAAACCATTTGATTTCTATGAGGGCTAGGATACTGTCCGGGTGCCCAAATAGAAACACATGGTTCTCTTAGGTGCCCACACCCGGAAACTTCGACCTGAAGGTCTGATTCACAAGGCAGTGAAGAAACATTAGGAGATGCAGTCCCATGATAGCCGGTGACCAACGATTGGTTCATACGCCACTTGTTCTTACAGGATACTGACGACCATGTGCACCATTGGTTTGGAATCAGGGTTTTTCATGTAACTCCCCTAGGTAGATTGTCAATATCAACCAATCCGGTTAAAGTATCGGACATTCGGTTTTCGTCCTGTTAATTTCGTAAACAACTGTAATGTCGCGAGAATTCAGTGACTAAGACTTCCCTCGTAGTGGTTACATACACGTGTTCATCTGACAGTATTTCGAGTGAGAGAGCTGACTGTTACCATCCTCTGCTGTACCAGGGCATTTATGGGAGCATAGTTTCTTACAGATAACCTTCAATCAGTTCATATTTTAAAAACGCTATTAGATAATCTAAAATAAATTTGATAAAACCTCTTAAATCATAATTCAAATCCAATAAGAAAGGTCATTAACAACTTATCTTATGATAAGTAATCGAAGTTAGATACATTTATCATAATTACCTTTCTATTATACATTATATAACATTATTATCACTATGAATATCATTATTGTTTGATTATATTATTAGTTTTATAATGGGTTTAATATCATCACTACAGTATATTCATCTTAATAGTTCAATAGGATAGACCCTATTCCAATAGTCAGCTGATACAGATTCCATTCACATAATTATACGTATATTATAATGGGTTAACTAATTACATTCATTATTTAACATTTCAAATATCCCATAGGAAAGAATATATAATTATGGTAATAGAAATGAAAAGATATTAAGAATAATTAGAATTGAATAATTAACCATAAAAGGTGTTCTTCTTTCATAATTACATCATGTATAGTGTATTAATGATTGAAATAAACAATCAATAAGATTAGAATTTATGAACTACCTTTGAGCAACGTTAAACTGATCTTAAGAGTGTACATGTTATAACTTGTGACTACCGATTAAAGAGCAGTCACATATCGATCGGATCAATGATGCGTAAAACACATGCGAGCAGTCTAGAGTCTTGATTGGTCCTGTTTTCCGCCTAGCCTAGCCATTTACGTCCAGAACATCAATCTGAGCCTCTGCAATATGAATCATTGTATTTCAAACAAACTGGGTTTATATACCAATCAAACAGACCACAATGTACCAATAAAATATGCAATAACATTTGTACAAGAATTAGCCAGATGTGGATGTGAATGAGGGAGGTAGTAATTAATATACTGGGTATAACTCAAGAATGGTAAATCGTATACTAATGGTTCATAGGTCAAAATAAAGCTTATAATAGGAGGAACATGAATACAAATAATTTAGTTATTTGATAATTATAGAATAGAAATATACGTTTGGTATTACCCCATCAATAGATCCTTAAGTTACCATTCATTACGTTTCTTGGGACCTAACAGTTCACCTAATAACTAAAACCAAATGAAGGTTATAAACCAGTGTATGAGGAATTGGAATGATTATTTACACTTGATGGTTAAAGTTTTCATCATGAACTGATATCAGCTATAATGCCAAAACTTTATTTAATCAAATTGGATGAGTGAATTTCGCGCCAAAATCAAAGATCTGCTATCTTATTACCTGATTGGTTCGTCCAAATATTATAGTCTCGTCAATATAATTCGTTTTTATATCTCATTTATAAAATACAATTATTTCTTTCTATTTGGAAATATCAGTCAGTCAGTCAGCTACAACGTAGGACCAGTCACATATATGCATCGGTCCAAGTTGTCATAGCTCATTAACACAACAAGATGAATACCAGATTCATAAAAGTAGTTAATTCAGAGGTGGTAATATATAAGAGAAAGATTGCAATAAGGATATAGTACAGGAAGCAAGAATTAGTTCGTAGAAAGAAAGATATTAAGTGATTTTAATCTCACAGTTTAAGGGAAGACAGAGAGTGTATACACCGACGCCATTGTGATCGATTCTGAGCCATGTCACCCAGAGTCTACAACCATTGGTTAAGACAGTCACACGGACCCCAACCAAGTAGCCTGCATCTCCCAACATAGCTCAGACTAGGAGTTGATGTTTTCAAGTACTGGTGACACGTTTTGGTTTGGCAACCCCTAACTATCTTCTAACCATCCCCTACACCGGTTAGCATTGCACGTCGTGGTAATCGGTGTTCAGGCATACGTAACACGTGTCCCAACCATCTCAGTCAATGAAGATTCACAACGTCATCAACTGATTTACCATCATTCACTAATACGCTGCGTCTAACCTCACTATTACTTACCCGGTGATCCCAGTAGACGCCAGCAATATTTCTAAGGCATCTGTGGTCAAATACTAGTAGCTTACGAGTGTCTTATACATATATACTGGTGGTCTATCTAAAATCTGGCCAAACTGACCTCCTGAAGATCTTGTTAATAAGTATCAAGAACTTGTGATTGCTCTTGAAGTATTCATGAAATATTTCTGAATGTTTATAACAAAAAAAAGTAATTTTTGGATTGGAAAGAGGATAACAGTCGAAATCATCTATCATATGTAAATCTGACAATAACAAAAAGAGCAAGATATATCATAAACCAGAAGAGATGTCTACAAATTGTAATAATAGAAATATAATTCACTTCTTTTTCATGAAAGATTTATAACATTAATACAATGAATATCTAGATTCAATTGTTTAAATTCAATAAGTCACTTTTTAAGTAAAGATGAATAGTGGCTAGCAGTGGAATCCAGGAAGTGTGTTTCGTCCTATTTGGGACTTGTCAGCTGGATGTACCTATATTGCGGAGTTGATGTTGATCCCACTTCTAGCCACTATCCATCTTTGCTTAAAACGTTTGTGACTTGAAGCTATATCAAGGCAATTTGCACATGATGCACATATGCCAACATGAGATTGATCAATTGCAGTCCTAAATAACAATGAGAAGATACATGTAAAACATTATCAAGTAAATTCAATTAGTCACTGAGTTGACTATTATACAACCAACGGATTGACCTTTTTTATGAACAGATAAATAGGGAATAGAATCCACAAAATTAATAAGAAGGAGATAAATTGATTCAAGTATTTCACTTTTTCTTTCCTACTATCTTAAAGTATTCCAATAGGAGATAAGAAACAAATAATTTTCATTCAATTTATCAATGTTATCTTATGTTTCCATTAATTTGTTCTCTCTCTCTTTTACAATGAGGACTTGTTTAAATATGTGTGTGTGTTTATGATTAATTTAAATACATAAATATTACTACGAAGAGGCACCAAATACATATACGACACACAAGTCACTTGATTTGTGTTTGAGCTGTGATACTATCCGGGTGCTCAAACCAAACCACGTGCTTTTCTTAGGAGGTCACATCCGAAGCCTTCGACCTGAAGTTCTGATTCACAAGATAGTGGAGCGACGTCAGGAGAAGCAGTCCCATAGTAACCGGTGACCAACGATTGGTTCATACGCCAGTTATTCCTTCATGATACTGAAGACCATGTGGACCATTGGTTTAGAATCAGGGTTTTCCCAGTAACTCCCCTAGATGGATTTTCCACATCCACCAACCCGGTTAAAGCACTGAACATTTGGATTTCATCCTCTCAGTTTCGTAAACAACGGTACCACAACGAGAATTCTGTGAGTAATATTTCCCTCGTAGTGGTTGTATACACGTGTTCATGTGAGAGTATTTCGAGAGGAAGAGCGGACTCTCTAGGTATCGGCCGTACTAAAGCATTTAGGGGCATATTCACACCAAAATCAATTAAATTTATGAGGATTATTATGTGTTTAGTTTTTGTATGCATAGGGTTTAATCGATTTCATAATCATTTAAGATGAATAACATGCGAACTGTAGTACAGATCGACTGAAACTGAGAATCTAAACTAACACTAACAAAGTGATAAGATGTCATCTTTGTGAAAAGTAAAGGTTTTGAAATTGAAATTATTGCAAGTTCTAAGGATCTGTGATTGATAAGTCACCAATCGTGACTAATGGTCTCATGGTTTCTGTAAGGTTAGTGATATAACTGAACCTTATGTTTGAAATTATTGTAATTTTCCTTATTCTAATACTGTGAAAAGCACAAACAAGTGGGGTTATCAGTATGGAATCGTGAATAATGTAATTTACTTTTTGAGATCACGAACTGAGTTAATTTTAACAGCCACTGGCAACATAGAAGTACGCGTGTCGAACTCTTCACTGATGCATATCCATGAATATACAACTAGATCTTGAACATGCAACCTTCAACTTTGTTCACAAACGCTTAACCGCTAGACCACTATGCCAGAATTCATTGGTGCATGTGTTTAACCGTATTCCATTTGATATACTGAAGATTGTGTGATGATAGATGCATAATACTGAGCAATTTTATACTAAGATAGAATGGCTGTCTAGTGTTTCCAAGTTTTTTAATGATTCCCCAACCTTGATCGGTTCGTGATCTCAATAAGATTGAGTTATCATTCATAATCAATATTAGTCTGGTACGTTTTTCAAGATAACATATTTAGTCAGCTCTTAATGGCATGTAAGCACTTTTAGCAGATAATTCCACTTGATCTTCAGTAATAAATTGACCGTATTTTGGATAGTTGTTGGTTAGTAAGGTCTGAGATGAGTACTTCTTGTCTGAGTCTCATCAGCCACCATTATATTTATAGTATAACGCTAAGTTTAATACTACTACTTGTGTGACTTATTTCATCACTCTACAGAATCATGATATTCAATAACATGTCCAATGTTAGTGTCCTAGATCATAGACGCTATTTTCTTCTGAATTACTTCCCTTTATTTACATATATTCAGGCATAGAAGATAAAGAACTTCATTTTGATATATGTCAATTATATAAATCATCTGTCTGTAAAAATGGTCAATGTATACCACGTGGTAACACATATGAATGTATATGTAATGAAGGTTTTGAGCCGTCAGAAGATCGTAAAACATGTCAATGTAAGTTATTTAATTAGTCTTTAATAATGGCTTTTTCTATTCATCAACCTTACAAAGTCTATACTTATGATTTAAAAGTCAATTCAATAGTAAGACAATGTTTAACACATTGAAATAACAGGTGGCTAACAGTGATATTCAAGATACATGTTTTGTCTCATTTGAGACTCGTCAGCTAGATATACCTGTATCACAGAGTTCATGTTCACTTCAGGACTTGAGCTCAGTATCGTTCATCATCTGACTCTGTGACTTGAAACAATCCACACAGAATACACAATATATATGTAAATAAGATTTAAAACCAACTAATACCAATGAATTATATACAACATTGTTTGTTGGTTTGTAGAATAATGATGAAAAGGTATATCTATTAGACAGTAATTGTTAATTATTACAATTTTTGGACACTGATTACCTTATCAGATGTTAAAACAAAAACAAAACAGTTTCAGTCCAAGAAAAAAGAAAAAAAAAACTAATCAACTACAAATAAAAAATTTTTTTTCGTCTTAGTAACAAGAAATAATTTTCATTTTGTTATTGTTCTTGTTGTCGTTGTTATGGCTGTTGTTATTACTTTCCTATTGATGATGTAGTTACCATGTGTAGGTGAAACATTGAAATGTCTTTCACACATATTTGTTCTGATTTCCAATGAAATAATAAACTAGTTATCATTAAAGAAAAGAAAAATGACAATGATAATTATAATCATGATTATTTAGTTAAATTTAATGATAGTCTATTGGATAAAGTATCATATTCATGTTGAACATCTGTTCTAGATTTGTGTAAATGAAAGAAAATTAATCAATAATGAATAAATTTAATGAATGATGATTTCAACTAAGATTATGTAATAACCAACATGGAAAATTTAGAAACACTGATGGTTCTAGTTTCAATTAACTCATGATCTTAACTATTAAAATTATGATAATATTCAGTACAAACACCTTTTGTCTGATATGAATCAACATATATACTCATTAGTGACGGTCTCCAAGAGGTATTTTCTACAGTACTAGTGAGAAGCATTGACCAGTGGAGTTTAACTAGGTCTGTTATGATATAATAGTAACTCATTGAAGATAATGATGGATGTATCACACAACTTTGTGGATAAGTTGAAGTTAGACATTAAAACCATTGGATGCCGGCCAGCTCATTGGTTTAGTGTTTAAGCGCTAGCGCGTGAGACTGATAGATCCTGGATTCGAATTTCGTGAGGTGGAATCATGGATACGCACTACTGAGGAGTCCCATAATAGGAAGAAACCACCATCCAGTGCTTTTCAGTTTCTCATGATCTCAACTATTGAAATTACTACAATCTCCACAAAACCCTTTCTGAAATTAAATTTATATTCAATGATTTTTAATGTTTCTTAATAGATAAAGTTGATATTTGTTCTGTACATCGAGGATATTTATGTACTAATGGACATTGTATACCAGCTGGTCGTGATTTCTTTTGTGAATGTAATCCTGGTTTTACTTTATCCTATGATCGTAGAAGATGTATGAGTAAGTTGATCTATAAGATCAAATTAATTTATAGTTATATGTAAATAGTTTAATTGAAAATGATTGATGTCCCTCTATACAATGTCAACAATTGTTACTGGAATGAGTAGTGAATGTTTTGATCATTCAAGTTATACTCAATATATACTACTAACATACACTAACATACATTAGAAACTGAAATCCTGTGGAAACTATTTACTATGTAAAGAATACAGTTCCCAAATGCCCTAGTATGTCCTAGAGTGAAGAGAGTTAGCTCTCCGTCTCCGAATGCTTTCACATGGCCGTGTGTATACTGCCACTTTCAGGGAAGTCGTACTCACTGAATCCTCTTGACATTACTGTTGTTTACGAAATTGAGAGGACGAAAAGCAAATGTCCGATGCTTTAACGCGGTTAGTGGATATGAAAGATTCAGATAGGGGAGTTGGAAATCCCTATTTCTAAACCAATGGTGCACATGAGCTTCAGGATCCTAAAGGAAAAAATGGCGTGTGTACTAATTGTTGGTCACCAACTATCATGCGTGCGCGTCTTCTTACGTTGATCCACTGTCTTGTGGATTAGACCTAGGCTTATGGTGTGGTCTTCTTAGAAAACCAGCTGCTTCGGTTATGGCACTCGGTCAGTATCATAGCTCTCACACAAATCAATAGTAGCTGCCACTGGCTTTATTGTTGCTATGTGGTGCATATCTGTTTAGTACCCCTATGTATTAATGTTTATGTGTTCAAATAAATAAAATAATAAACTTAAAGAATACGACATATTTATTTTGTTTTTAGTTATAAATACTGATTATCAATAGACATGTATTTTGTTAAATGACTCAGACTTATATCTTTATTAGTTAAGATAGGAGACACAACTAAACTAGGCTAGTTATCTCAAGTTAAAGCATTATGCAAATGTATTCTGATATCAAATGTTTCACCTGAAATGCTTTAGGAAACAAAACGTTTAGAATAAAAGATTTACGAATGATCTATGGTTTTTAGAAGAACATCCTTTCAGATGAAACACTTATAACAAAATCTTAGTAATTGAATTCATGAGTCCATCTAGGCTACACCACCACTGAAAACATAAAAGCACTAGACACCTTTGAATACCGAATTAGTAGTCTAGAGGTTAAGCGGTCGTGAGCGTGACTGAAGGCCCTGGATTTGAATCTCGCGTACAGAATCGTGGATGCGTACCGCTGTGGAGTCCTACACAAGAACAAAACGGCCGTCCAGTGATTCCAGGTTTTTAATGGTAGTCTAGTTTTAATTGATTTATGAATTCAATCGTTAAATTTATCGCATTCACCACAAACCCCATTCTGATAATAAGAAAATCATCTTTTTGTATACATTTGGCGAGTATCACATTATCTCGTAACACACGATAAGTTAGTGGGAAAAGGTTAGAACATTTCAGTCTTGCTTTCAATAAGTAAACGATTGAACACTTTCTAACATATCTACTTGTTATTTCAAAAGAAATTTTGTTACTTGAATTGTACAATCCAAATATAGTCGGACGTATGTTTGATGTTATATTTCAAACATTTTCACATCCAAGTCTCAAAGAAATGAAAGAACTACTCATAAGGACTGAAAGCTTTAGCAGTTATCTCCATGAATTTAGCTAAGTTTGATATACATTTATAGATCGTACTAACGGATTTGGATGATCCGATTACACAGTAAATGCTTCTGAGTAAGGCCTATCCCATATTCTATCTAGATTGTTTATATTGATTGACAGTCTCATTTATCATCATGACTATCATCATAATCATTGTTGTAAATCGCTATTTATACTCGGTCATTTTAAAACAGGGTCACAAAGTCATTTGTGACCCTGTGTACATAATTTACATAAAGTAACTGGAACTCGAACGCTAGAACCCTCCAAGTCGCCAATGAAAAGACATAAGATAAGTGAAAGGATTACTATTTTAAACACCATCAAATGTAGTACAAAACGTCCAGGAATTTATAGTTTTTTTTAGTACAAACGAAATCATCATTATTGTCATCCAATCCGCATACAGGGGGTTAATAGCATTTATCCAATAAGGTAGATATACGCTGAAAATCTGGAATATTTTTCCAAAAGATTAGTGGATGGAATATCCTCGGTTTTTTATGAAACTCCCAGAGCTTCCTCAAGTTCAATCGTGGGTTGTCCTTACAAATATACAGTAGTTATTTCGATCCGTTTTTGAACATTTGATTATAGTTGACAGTGGAACATAAGATTAGCGTTTCGTCTTATCAATGACTCGAAGGCCAGTGTTAATGTTCACACAGATAATAAGATCTAGTACATATCATTTGAAATATCAATGGATTAATAATGAAGCTACTGAATTTATATAACAGCTAACTTGTTCAATTGGCATGAAAGTGTTTTATTAAGTGTATATTCATTTGTTTTTTTTGCATAGGTAAATGTGAAGAATTAGGACCAAGTATTTGTCCAAATGGTTATTGTATTGCTTTGTCAAATGGTGATTATGAATGTCAATGTGAAATAGGTTATCAAAGTACACCGGATCATAAAAAATGTATCATGCAAATGGAAGAACGTGAGTAAATGTTTTCTTTACATTTACATTATTCATATTTGAGTAGTGTTTAAAACATCTAGTTCCTTATATTGTGCTTAAGCTTAGGTTAGATATTTAGAGAATAGATGTAATCTGGCTAGGATTGGAATCTAGGATGCTCCTTTTGTTCCATTTGAGACTCATCAGCTCGAGTTGACTACATCTTTGATTTTTCATTTCATCCGGGGACTTGAAGTCAGTACCATCTGTTTCAAATATCATCGCATTATACACTTGATTACTGATGTATCTATGTTCGACTAATGAATCCTAAATAAGACAAAGCAACATCCTTGATTCCACTATTAAACATATTCCATCTGTTTTACACTAACTTGTGCCACAATCCTTATAGGATGCATATAATCCAACTAGAAATGATCAATATGCGGTTGAAATATCAACAAGGGGATAACCTAATCCATTTCAAATTGAAGTAAATATTCATGTTGAAAAATAGTGAAGATTTAGCCTGAATTGAATGTTTGAAATCGCATAGTTTTCAGTAAGGCTACTCTTATATTTGTTATTTTATAAACTTATCATATGAATGATAAATTTCATTGAATAGTATTTTATAATTTTTAAACAATGTATGTAATTATAAGTAAAGATGGATATTGGCTAGCAGTGGAATCCATGACATGCATTTTGTCCTATTTTGAACTCATCAGCTGGATGTATCTGCATCCCAGGGTTGATATTCAATTCAGGTCTCGGAACAAGTACCGTTCACTTCCATCACCATTGTGTTATCCACTTAGTTGCTGGGTCCTAATGTCCACGTGCTTGTGTAATGGAGTGAAGTTTAAATTCAGTTGGTATTGTTTGCTTATATCTTCGAATTGTTGTTTAAGACTGCAAATGATCACTCTCTTGTTGACATATGTGTATCCCATGTTGATTGCTTAGATAATGGCTTACGTTACAAGCTTTATAAGCAAAGATGGATGGTAGCTAGCAGTAGAATCAAGGATGGCTGTTTCGTCCTACTTGTATGTGTATGAATGTTTTCATCTTTTAAAATATGGGATTATGAGCTATTCATCTGTTTGATCATTTCGTCCAAGTTTTAATCGCCTACAGTTAGCATGTTTGATTAAATAATGACAAGACTATAATTTATAGACGATCTTTGAACGAACTTTAAGTGACAATAAGAAATATTAGCCAATCAGCAAACAGTCTGTATAGAGTAAAAATATATTATACAAAACCAAAGAAATAAAATGGATACACTTCTTATACGTGGTTTAAAAACTTGTCAAGGTTAGAAAAAGGTTCAGATTTTCTAAAGTCGTAATGCATGCAGTAGAAGAAATCATTCTTACGGCTACAAAATAGTCGGCCTCTGGAGTCATGATAAAGTCTCAAAAACTCTTTCAGCTTCGATCGCATAGCTTCAATATTGTTTATGTGCACTCCGGTTGTTGAGTTCACAAAATGCTACTTGCGGATAACGACACGATGCACATAACCAAGCCTATGTAGGAGTATGTACGCTCTCCAAACATCCTTATATAATGTTGTACCTGGCTGCAGCAAATGTTACGGTTGCTTTTATTATCCAGTTGGCAATAATTGTCGTAATTTGCCTTAGTTAGGAATTATATATGGGGTTTTCATCACGAACTGACATCAGCTATAATGCCAGAAATCTATTTATCCAAATGAATGAAAGGCTTTTGCATTAAAATCCGAGATCTATTATCTTATACCCGATTGATTCGTCCACCAATTATAGTATCGCCGTTTTATTTGTTATAGCCGCTCAATTATCACATTTTTGTACAAAATTCCCTGTGAACCGATTGTACGTTAGCATTAAGCATTGAAGTTGGCGCCGTAACCTTAAAATCTTTAAAACGTTTCTGATTGGCTCGTCCATAAATTAGAGTCTCGCCGTGAATAATATAATAATATAATAGAACAAAACAACAAATACAGAATTACAGAACAACTTAGTAACATCTGAGTACCATACAGTTAATACTTCATTTACAAAATGTTAATCAGTTGTCCCAGAATTCATTATCCCCTCATTGCCATATCAATCACTCTCTGTTCTCGTTCTTTTCTCTTCGATCTTCTTCACCTTCTACCATCAGGCATTTCAGTTTCTAATTGATGATACGTACTACTTATATCTGTCGGCATCAGTAGCGAACGCAACAGTTGGAATTCTATTGTAACTGAGATTTTTATCTCATTCATCTAAACTTGACCTCATTTAGTTTAATTAATAAAATCACTTCTCATATTATACTCTTGATTTTGTTTCTCGTTATTCTTTGTTATTTTTTTGTTGTTGTTGATGATACAGCTAATTCGAATGCACATTTTACAAAATCTGTTCAATATTACAAAAATAGTTACTATGGTAATAAAGAAAATGAACCTTATCAAAATTCAATAGAAATGAATAAACCACAAATTGATTATTCTGAAGTTGATGGTTAGTTTAAAAATATGTATATATGTGTATATGATGAGTTATTTGAATTTTGAATTGTGTAGTTGGTTATAACACTTTGATCCTGGCACTCAAATGCCCTAGTAAAGTCGACGTTGGGGAGTGATAGCTCTCTCTTTCGAAATATTCTCATGTGGCAACGCGTATACAGCCACTATCAAGGAAGTCGTATTCACTGCTTTCTCGTAAAGGCGCTGTTGTTTACGAAATTGAGCGGACAGAAAGTGAATGTCTCGTGCTTTAACCGGGTTGGCGGACACGGAGTGTCCACCTAGGAGAGTTGGAAAACCCTGATTCCAAAATAATAGTGCACATCAGCTCCAGGATCCTGAAGGAACAAATGGGGTATTAACTTACTGTTGGTGACCGTCTACCATGGGACTACATTTCCTTACGTCGCTCCATTGCCTTATGGATTAGACCTTCAGGTCGAAGGCTCTGAGTGTGACTCTTTAAGAAAACCACGTGGTTTGGTTTGGTTACCTGCGCAGTATCACAGCGCATACAAAAATCAAGTGACTTGTGTGGCGCACATGTATTCGATGCCCCTTTGTATCAATATTTATGTGTTCTAATCAATAAATAAATAAATTTGATCCTAAGTTTTATGTACATTTCGCATCTGATATATTTTTGATGTATCTAAGTTACAACTAATTCACTAGTTTAACATATAACATTGTTCGATTCACTTGTATTTGGCTTATTTTCAGATCATTGTCATACATTGATGATGAACTTGTAACTGTTAAGTCGATTGATGAACAATTATTCACTCCAATATTTCTTATTTTGGATACCTATATGATTAAAATAGTTACTAATAATGGTATTGAGATAGTGTATGTATCCGTGAATGTGTAACGAATTCGTTTTCTAATCTTCAATATATCCAAGAACTAACATGAACTAACTGATTATACATTATAAGAGTATAGTTTTTACAATGGAATTGATTTCATCAAGCTTTGACATTCACTTTTTCTAAGTTTTTCATCAGACAAGTTTAAACACACCACAGTGTCGTGTTCATAGAAAATATATATAGGTGACTTTAGATGGATACAATCGAACCTTCAGTGAAAATCAAACTCTTATATGTGTCATTCATCTATTGAATGAACGTAAAAATATTTGAAAATTGCTAAAGATTATACTTTGATTGAACGCTAACAGAATAATGCTTGTCATCACACATCATATTTATCTTCATACTAACGTGAGACAAAGTATAATACCATTTAGTAATCACTTTTTAAGCAAAGATAGGTAATGTTTAGCAGTGAAGTCCACGACACGCGTTTCGCCCTGGATTTCACTACTAGCCACTATTCATCTTTGTTTAAAAAGCTTGTGACTTAAGGCTGTATTGAAGCAATTCGTACAGGATAAACATATGCCAACATGACACTGATCAATTGTAGTCCTAAATAAAAATGGGAAGATACAAGTAAAACAACACTAAGTGTATTAAGTAACCACTTTTTCAAATTCTTACATTAAAATCAGTATGTATTGAATCTTGGAAACTGTATGCACACTGTTGATATGTCTAGAATGCTGTATTGTTAAAAAAGCAGCTATTCAGTATAGAGGAATATAAATAAACGTGAAGTCTTTCTACACTAGCGTTAAATTGCTTATTTTAGAATCTCAATAGTTGAGGTAATGAGTCAGTTGAAACTTGACCACCATGGAGAACCTAAAAACAGTAGTGATCTAGCTTCAATTTACTCATGATCTCGACTATTGAATTTATTATAATATCCACAAAGCCCCTTCTGATATAAATCAACATATTCTCACTAGTGACTGGCTTGAAGAGGTATTTCCTGGAATTCTAGTGAGAACCAGTGACCAGTGGAGTTCAACCGGGTCTGCTGTAAGATAGTAACTTACTGAAGACAATAGTGGATGTGTCACTCAATTTTGTAAATTAGTTAAAGTTAGACATTAACATCATTGGATGTGGTCTAAAGTTTAAGCGTTCGCGTGCCAAGTATTACTTACTTAAGCCTGTCATCCCTAGTGGAGGAGAATAGGCCGTCCACCAGAATTCTATATTCAATCTTTTCCGGTTCTTTCCAGTTGCTATTCATCCTTTCTATATCTGCTTCCAATTCTCGACCCAGTGTGGCCTTCCTCTTTTCTATTTCCCTTCAGGATTACAAGTTAGGGCATTCATCATGATGCAGTTCGATTATTTCCGAAATGTATGTCCTATCCAACGTCTTTTCCTAATTTTCTTCTCAGTTGGAAATTGGTTTTTTCTCTTCCATATTAAGCTATTGATGATAGAATCTGGCCAACGGACATTCAATATCACGTGTAGATAATTGTTTATAAATATCTTTACCTTTTTGATGACGGTTAGAGTAGTTCTCCGAATTTGAACTCTAATACGTTAGATCTGTTTTGATGTTTGTAATGAAAATTGTGACTTTGTTGCTGGCTGACAGTTGTTTTCAGTTCCAAATATTCTTGAATGATAGGAATTCTTCCCTTACTCTAAAAATCTGTAGCTTCTCATCTGCATCAAATCCTCCTTGGTTATCAATTAAGCTGTCCAGATACGTAACGCTTTTCACCTCTGTTAGAGCTCCACCACTAAGTGTCATTTAATTGGTGCTGGCTGTGTTGCATTTCAGGATTTCGGTTTTTCCCTTGTGTATGTCAAAGCCTATTGCTATAGAGTCTGCTGCTACACTGGTTGTCTTCATCTGCATTTTTTGATGTATATGAAATAAAAGAGCTAGATCATCGTTTAGTCGCATTCAAACTGTATTTTTTTCTTCGCCTCACATATGGAGGTCAATCAGTCACTGGAAGAAAGAGGAATGGTGAGAGTAAGCATCGTTGCCTGAAACCGCTCCTCACTTGGAACGAGTCTGTCAGTTGTCCTCCGTGCACCACTTTTCAGTGTAGTACATCATATGAATTCCGGATGATGTTGACGATTTTCTCAGGCAGTCCTTAGTGTCGAAGAACTTCCCATAATGTTCTCTTATCCATACTGTCAAATCCTTTCTCATAATCAAGTAAATTGATGTCTAGTGACGAGTTCTATTCAACTGATTGTTCAAATATGATATTCATATAAATTTCGTTATTCAATTCATTCATAATGGAATGAATAGGCAGAAGGAACTTTGTTCCAGATCCCAATCAATTTATATTTACCACGAAAAACACTATCGGTATCAAAGTCAAAGTTTGACTTGAATATTGGGTGACAATGTTAATAATCAATATATGGTTTTGTTATATCTTAATAAGTAGAAACATTGTATTTCTGCTGATGTTTCGTAACTTCATGTAACCCACTTCTTCAGAGTAAACAACTAAATAATCGAACATTAAATGAACACACGTTTAATTAGTACAAAAGAAACAATATAGAATATTTTTGATATAATTGTGGTGTGAGTTACTTATATCTATATAATTAGTATATAACGATAGTCAAGAATAAAATGTATTTCAGTAGAAGATCGAAAAGGAAAGTAATGGTTATCAAAAATACACGAACAGTGGAATTTGAGACAATGGACTGAGATTTGCAAAGGGGAATAGTACAGTTTGAGACACTTAATTGATAAATTTCAAATTAACTATTTACTTTATGGTTCTGAGATTTTAGTGAGATATTCTGTACATTCAATTACATTCGTGTTGTGACTTTATGGCCCGCTAGTTATTTCGTCATTTATTCGCCAACCAAAATACGACTTATTCGCTCTTGTACTATAGTAAACCAATGACGTTCGTCCGGTCTCATCAGCCTAGCGTCCTATTGGTCAGTTGCTCGCCTAACCCGTCCAGTTGAGTCCAGAGTGCTAATAACAGCCTCCGCTATGAGAATCATTTATTTCAAACATACTAGATTTATATATCAACCAAACAGACCGCAACGCACCATAAAATAGGAAATAACATTCATGCACAACAAACCCAAGAAGCGGCTGTGAACGTGGGAGACTGTAATCAATTAACTAAACAAAGCTTAAGAACAGTAAATCGTACAAGAATAATCTATAGATCAAAATGAAGCTCATAATAAGAGGAATATAAATAAACATAATCTAATTATTGAATAGTTATACCATAAGAATATATAGATAATATTAGTTCATTAATAGGTTTCAGAAGTTACTCGTGATTTAATCTTCGCTAGAATATAACAATTCGATTGTTCCCATTCATATTCTTGTTCATTGTATAATTACAATCATAATAAATCTGAACATGTCTGAAGAAGTAACTTGGTTTAAGTGACGAAATATCATCAACAATACAATTTTCTTACTCATTAGGTTATCACAATAATAATAAAATATAATATAATATATATATTTGAATATGATACTCATTTCTTGCCAAATCTATTATAAAGTGTTTGTAATATGACAAGCATAGAATAGATAAAATCCACATAGAAAACTGTAGTAATAATAACAAGAAGAAGAAGGAAAAGAAGAAAAAAGAGGAAAAAGAGGAAAACGAAAAAGAAGAGAAAGAATAAACTAAACATTTTGTCTATTAATTCAATTACATTTTTTCTACTCTTTTCCATAATCTGAAATATACAGAATGCCAAAACAAAAACAAAAAAAGAAAGAAAAAAGAAAGAGAAAAACTTAGAGAAAGAAAATATTACAGGGAAAAAATATGATGAGGATAATAATAATAATTAAATTACTAGTAACCTTTTCTTATTATATTGATTATTGATTAGATATTACTTATTATTATTATTATTATTATTATTATTATTATTATTATTATTATTATTCGTATGGTTTGTTGCCAAGTTAACAAAAAGAAAGGGATAATGTAAGGTTACCTGTTTCAATACATAATTATTCACATATGTATATAGAATATTGGAGAATTATACACTTCCTTTCAATATATATACTTGTACAAAACATATGGCTATAGATATAAAATATAAATAATGATACTAATAATAGTGATAATAAGAGTAATACTACGTTAGTATGATCTCGTTCCTTCAAGTAACTTATTATATAAATCATCATTATAAATTCTAATCTAAGTACATAGATATTTATATATATACATAATGAAAATTTCAAGTTTTTTCATTTTTTATTCCCTACCAAAAACAGAATGTGATATTTAGTATTATTACTATTATTATCATCATTTTATAGTTTTGTACTAAAAATTATACATTGATATGAGGTAATTTCAATGGTAATCAGTATAGGGGTTGTGGAGATTATGAAGTTTTTGATTAACATCATGAAATGATTGATGTTAGATCATCATTGAAAACCTGGAAGCATTGGATGACTGTTTTTGTCCTATTATAGGACTCCCCAGTAGTGCTCGTTCACTAATGACTAGGTTTGTGAGGGAATTCTCGGAGTTCTAGTGAGAAGCCGTGACTAGGGGAGCTAATCTTTTTGGAATAGAGACAGGTATCTACGTCGATACAATGGATGATAGTCAAGCAATTTCGCGGATTGGTTGGGGTTAGATACTAGCACAATTTGATGCCAACCCAGTGGTTCAGTAGGTTGAGCGTTCTCGCACGGAACTGAAGACCCTAGATTCAAATCTAGCGAGCGAGATAGTGGATGCGCAATGCAGAGGAGTAGTGAACGAAAACACCAGAGAGAACAATCAAATGTATATAAATACAGTATTACAGAACGCCTTAGTAAAATCTAAGAACAATATAGTAATCACTTCATGTGGAAAATCTCAACCAACTGTCTCAGACTTCATTGTTTTTTCGTTCCCACATCAATCATACTCCGCTCTCGTTCTCTCCGTTCTTCTTAATTTTCTGACACCAGGCATTTCACTTTCGTTTGAAGGTACATACTACTTATATCTATCGATATCAGTAGCACACTCCACAATACCTGTAATCTTACAATAATTGATGTTCCCAGCAGGATTCCAACTCACATCAACCAATTTTATACTTTAACACATTACAACTGAACCATTAGAAACCTACTGATGTATTATAGGGCTAAGGTACTTACACAGATTTACAATACAAATCGATCGATATCATTCGATCAGCTTTTAGAAAAATACATACATCTTGACCGTTGGATGCTGGCTTAGTGGTCTAGAGGGTAGGTGTTTTCGCGCAAAACCGAAGGTCCTGGTTTCGAGTAACGAGTACGGTACCGTGAATGTGCACTGCTGAGAAGTCCCATACTAGGACGAAACCATTGTCCAGTGTTTCCAGGTTTACAATGGTGGCCTAACATTGATAGCTTTATGATTTAAATTAAAAACTCAACAGTCTTCACAACCTCACACTGATACTTCACTCTGTTTGTAAACGGGTAAATGTGTTTTTTTCGTTTTATTTGAGAACCTTTTTCATCAGTTATTACTTACGTTAAAATCGATGGTATTAAAAACAGGAAATAGTAAAATGAAAACGAGTATATATGATTGGTAGATGTCAACTAATAATTCGTTATGAACATCTTTATTAGTTTTCCAAATTACAACGCTATTTGTTTGAATGCCTACAAAAGGTTATAGCAATCATTTTATATCAATGTTGTCAATAAATGAAAGGTAATCAATCCATTTGATACATCCATAATCTAAGAAATATTAAGATTTAGGTAGTTTATCTGATCACTTCCCGTCATATTATCATATCAGAATCAGTACAAGTCTACAGTTAAGATGATCACTACATGGCATTTAATAATCTAACCTTTACTGAAACAAATAATTGTACTTGGTCTAAGAATTAAACTTAATTATAATTACTTACACCGTATAATAGAAGATACATAGAAACACTAAACATCTGAACATAGCTAAATGTCCATAGATTGGTAGTCAATTTAAAACAGGTCGAACTAAGGTTAGATTGAATCAGTGTGTTGAGCATTTCAACAATAATGTGACTAATCAACTAATTGGTTGATGATTATAACTAACAATTATTGGTATACTATCTGTCTCGAACTTTTGATATGGTATCGTAGAAGTCATAAAGACACAACAATGTTTTAAAATAGTACTTACTTGCTTACTTACTCCTGCTACTCCTCGTGGAGGAATATAGGCCGCCTACCACCACTTTCTATCCAACCGTGTCCTGGGAAGTCCCTTCCAGCTCTTTCCACTTGCTATTCATCCTTTTCATGTTTGACTCTAAATCACGACGTAATGTGTTCTTTGGCCTTCCTCTTGTTCGTTTCCCTTCAGGATTCCAAGTTAACGCTTACCTCGTGATGCAGTTTGGTGATTTCCTTAATGTATATCCTATCGACTCTCAGTGTCTTTTCCTAATTTCCTCCTCAGTTGAAAGTTGGTTTGTTCTCTCCTACAGAAGGCTGTTGCTGATGGTAGCTGGTCAACGGATATTAAGTATCTTGCGTAGACAATTGTTTATAATTACTTGAAAGTTTTTGATAGTTCTCTACATTTCAGCTCCTTGCAGTAGAACTGTCTTGACGTTCGTATTGAAGATTCTGACTTTCATATTAACTGATATTTGTTGCTGACAGTGCCATATGTTTTTCAACTGTAGGAATACGTCTCTTACTTTGCCAATCCTTGCTTTGACATCCGCATCCGATCCTCCTTGTTCATCGATGATGCTTAAAATTGTACCATTAAATTAGTACATTTGACCATTTTCCCTTACAACTAAACAAATAATAACTCATTTCCGCATTTATTTGTTTAATTTTTAGATGAAAAGTCTTATAACTGGTGGCAAAGTGACAGTTTATCAAAGAAACAACATAAATCCTATTCACAGTGTAAGTTTATCTCTGTTATATTAATCTACACAAACTTTTCTTATAGAATTACATATCATCTTACTGAAAGTTAGTGAAAATATCTTGTCAGAAATGTACCAATCAAGACTCTAGACTGCTCGTACGTGTCTTATGCGTCATTGATTCGATCGATAAGTCACTACTCTCTAATCGGCGGTCATAAGATATAACAAGATGATAATAGATGACATTCGTCAATGTATGATTCATTAAACTTAAATTCCAAAAGGTCTGTCTTTTTGTGTGATAGAATCAGGATTCCAGAAGTAAGAAAATTTTCATATAGTCTTTCGATTCCGGTCAAAATAATAATTCATTATTACTGCAGTGTTCCAGTGATCTAAGGTTGATGAAACCTTACTCAGTTAAGCCGATTGGCTTATCTGGATTAGAATCCGTTTTTTGAGTCTCATGAACCCACCACATGGACGTGATTTCGAGAGGACATCGCTGGAATCCCCGACTCTCGACGCGCAAACGTCGTATCAGGGGCAAGTATAATCTATAAGCATACCAGTAAGACATGAATTTTCACCAATGTATCTCTTGGCATACTTATACGTATACTTACAGTCAGAGAAAACATAAGTTACATGAATACCGCTAACACATAAGTTTTCACTCATGCATCCCATAGCATACATCTATGTATATTCACTCACCTGGGAGGGTAGATGTTCACCGCTTCGTTTCAACGTACTTGCTACAACTGTCTCTTACTCAGTACATGCGTACCACTGGTACAAACAATTCCGTACATGTAATTCATGATATACACACAAGCATAGGCACTTTATCAGGGTGAGTTAGTGATCACTTATTCCTATTATTTGCTATCCTATACTTTTATTATATCTTCGATCTACTGTATTAGATCACTGATTTTAGTAGACATATGGTAGACCTTTTTTCAGCTTACATTCCTTGTGCTAACCCACGCGCACACCATTTGCATACACCAACAAACACTATCTACACAAGCGGAGACTTATGAAACTCATATTTATAAACACGCAAATCGGGCAACACGTCACGATTTTAAAACCTTAAAGAATGAGATCCGGGTATAGCAGGTTCAAAATAGGAGTAGTGGATTGGTCTGATATCTAATGACCGCCCAAATTAACTAGCAAGTTTGCCCTCACTATTCCGTAGAGCTACATGGAGGCTTTGAGCAGGATTTTGCATCCTTGATAGGATGAAAGCAAGTAACATAATGATTACTGACTCAGTTCCATTCATGAAATTAGTTGTGATGACAAGCACAAATTATGGAGGCACTGTAGTGAACAGAATACCGATGGGGACAATCGGATGTACTTAACAAAACATTACAGGACTTATTAATAAAATCTAACAATCATAAAGTAAATGCTTAATTTGCAAAATGTCCACAAATTGTCTCGTAATGACTCAGACTTCATTCTTTTTGGATTTTCATACAAATTGTATTCTGTTTCCATTCTTTACTGTTCGATCCTCTTGTCTCTCTGCTGTCAGACCTTCTGTTCTTGACTAACATCATATACTACTTATGTCGATTTAAGCAGCACATACCACAGTACCATTTTCTACAATTTTAAAATATTACATAAGCCTTCACACCATTCAAACGAAATGCGCTAAACTACTAATTCTGAACAACACAAGTATTTCGATTTTTCTAGATCATAAAGAATATTTGTAGCATTGAATGAGAAGGTTGAACTGGTTAAGTTCTCCGACCTGGATGATTTTATTGGATTTGTTGCGCCAACACAGCTTACCTCTTGGCTAATTTATTGCATCCTTAAGTCTGTAAGTCGTTTTTCCAGTAGGTTAAGCGTTCGCACGCGAGACTGAAGGTCCTGGGTTCAAATCCCGTGAGCGGGATCGTGAATGCACACTGCTGAGGAGTCCCACAATAGAACAAAACGGCCGTCCAGTGCTTTCCGGTTTTTAATTGTGGTATAACATTAATCATTTCATGATCTCAATCAAAAAACATAAAAATTTCCACAACCCTTATACTGATAGTTAAACATTTCAGTTGAAGATGCTTTGTAATGATAGATTTAATTTATAGTTTATAGCTTGAGAACTAATAAAACTCCGAGAAAACTGGACACCTGCCTCTCCCTAATGACGTTCACATCAGCTGTGTACGCTCTTGAATATTCTTAGAATCAAACCCAATACCATCAGATTTTGATAGGAACTCTTAACTATTGGGACCACTTGATCGGTATCATTTCCAACTTCAATGAACTTGTGATATATGGGGGGTGGTAGTAATAGTAGTAGTAGCACTGATCCATTTATAAGAATGATTGCCTACTGATTTAAAGTCACTAAATGTGATCAAGTAGCTATTTAATACCTAAAAATTCCCATAGATTCTTCATCTGTTCACAATCGATCATGAAAGACATCTACGGATTGATAGATTCTCATTCAATATATTATTTAATCTAAAGATATTAACACCGCTGGATGCCGGCTCAGTGGTCTAGTTGATTAGGCTCCTGATGTGAGACTGATAGGTCCTGGGTTCGAATATCGTGATGAGTGCGCTCGTGGATGCGCACTGCTGAGCAGTCCCATACTAGGACGAAATGGCCGTCCAGTGCTTCCAAATTTTCCCATAGTGGTCTAGCTTCAATTGACTCATGATTTCAATCAATGGAATTTCTAAAATCTCCACAAAACCCCTTCTGATACTTGGGATCAACAAAAAGAATAAAATAAAAGGATGCAAATGGTATAGTTTACTTAATGGTTCAACATAATTATTTAAAGAATGTAATATATTATGTAACTAATATTACATGTCTGATTTCAAATGCAAATATCAACAATCCTACACACACACACACAGACCTTTCATACCATGACATTTAATGTTATCATTCCATATTATCATCGTTGTTAGCATTGCATAATAGTATTAGGAATTATTTGATGATGATGATAACAATAATAACATTTCGCTAATGAGAATAATCAAGATATCTGTTCTTATCAAATGTGAATATTTACATATATGTATACACTTGGTATGAATGGATTCAGTTAAAAGTCAGATTGTATGTTACATACTTAATTGCAGATTAAGCAAAGATGGATAGTGGCTAGGAGGACGCGCGTTTCGTCGTATTTAGGACGCTTCAGCTGGATGTATCTGTATCTCAGAGTTGATGTTCACTCTGAGATTATTATTGTTTAGTAACGATTAATCCCAGTGAATTTATGTCATTGCTTAGTTCTATATTTAAGTGGATTATATATAAGCACTTCAGAATAAACTAACCTAAATTAGGATCATTACATGTAGAGGTGGAGATTTTCAACACTATGTGGTTATTGTGAAAACTGTTTAGATTTATAAATTTATTAATGTAGAAATGATTTAGTTGACGATTATTTGAAATAGAACTTTAGTGGAACCCCTTCATTTTTATGTCAATTTGACAGGACGATGTTATCGATGGGGTCACTAATTTAGTGGCCTTGGCTCCGACTCCAGTTAGATGGTATGAATGATAATATATATATCGTCAATTCTCGTACAAAATTATCGACGTAACTCGCATTCGTGAATGAGGAAATTAAATAAGTCAAATACGAGAATGAATGTTTGAATACGTATATTTTGTACACTCGTTGATTAGAACAGACAGTCAGAGAATCGCAGCAAAGGAAGCAAAGATGAGTTAGCGAAGTAAAACGAAAAGACGCGCAGTGGAGAAGGCATGTGAGCCAACTCCATTTAATCAAACGTTATTCAATGTTTATAGTTACGCAAAAGTAATCTACAGACATAAAATAAACTATGTAGGCTTAATAATAGCAACTGACATTACAGATTGGTTTGGTCATGTCAACTTGATCCGCCTTTTTTTCTACAAAAATAAAACAATCATCATACTAAGTAATAAATATATTTAAACTTGTGTTCATTTGATATCGATTATTGATTTATTCTGAAGAAGTGACTTACTTGAAGTTACGAAACGTCGCCAGAAATACAATTTCTCTATTCATTGGGATATAACCAAAAAAAATATTAACTTTGTACCCAATACTCAATTTATTTGAAATTATCAAGTCGAATCATGGCATTGATACTTATAAAATCATCGTATTTCTTGACATCAAAACCGTCTTCTGTTCGAGAGCATGACTTTACTTTTGGATATTTTATTACGGAATTATATGTCAGAAAAGGTTACAAACATCTTGAAAGCTCTGTTAATATTCCACAAATACATTGGATTTCTATTTTTTAACCGATAACATCCTGAAAGCAGCTCTGAATGAAATACTGTGAAGACGATCCACGGGTGAACACGAGGAAACCCAGAGAGAGCCGGAGATATTGCATCCAATCATCTTCTGGAGGAATATTTCAGAATCTCGACGTGGAGCTTCCCTATTGGATAAATGCTGATAGCCACTTGTATGCGGATTGGATGACTATAATGATGATTTCGTTTTTACTAAAAAACCTATAAATACCTGACAGTTGTGTACTATAAATGACACCGTTTGAAATAGCATTCCTTTCACTTGTCTTCTACCTTCTCCTTTGCAATGTGGAAGGGTTCTAGATTTTGAGTGCTCAAGTTATACGCGATATATCAAGAATCTAAGCTCTAGATATAAGAAGAATATGGTAATGTCGCGTTTCCAATAATGAAGGCAGAATTTATGAAAACTAGCAAGTGGATGACAATACGTTTCTTTGAAATGATTCACAGTATGTCTAATCAGTTAGCAATAAAAAAGATACACATATTAAGATTGACGCTTATTTACCCGTCATAATTTCCCCATTGGGGTCTTGAAAATCGTTTCATTGTGCTACTTTAGACGTTATCAAGTATCGTCTTTGATATCGTTTTCTCCTACATCCTTCATAGAAGTTAAATGAATCCTCTTAACTGATAGAAATCTTTAACGATCATAATTTTGATCAAACTGCATTGTTGTTGTGATCTGTTCTATTTCTCTGTTATAGTATCAATTCACTTGGGTGGTTTATTATTAAAGCGCACTCATATAGTAATCATAATTATATTTCATTTTTCACTTTCTAACCTATTTCAAATTCAAATGTATATTTATTAGAAGTTGAATAGTTCTTTGAATCACTAAAATCACTGTATTACTTACTCGTATATCCTAGAACCACCGATTAAGTAATGTAGTTGTTAGGGCAACGGGTACTACGTAAGGATAGCAAACCGATTGATGAAGTAGTGAAACTTCATCAGTTGAGATGGCTGGGACACGTGTTACGTATGCTCAACTACCGACTGCTCCGACATGCCATGTTTTCTAGTATAGGAGTAGATTGGAAGAAATCTAGGTGCGGCCAGTTCAAAACATCGCACAAATATATGAAGTAACTGACAAGTGTACTGGGCCATGTTGGTAGGTGTAGACTACCTGGTTGGGGACAGCGAGATGATAGCAACCGATGGTTAGAGACCTTGAATGACACGGCTCAAAATCGTTTGCAATGGCGCAGGTGCATCCACTCTTTGTGTTCTCCCAAAATTCTAATCTTCTGAATTCTTCATATCCCTGAATTATGCTCCTTGAATAAGATCTTAAAACCCTAATGTTTCCGATTACTGCTTATACTTTTATTACCTCTACCACTACGGTATTTGAATTAACAATTGTATTCTCTGTGTTAATGTGGTATGACAACTTGAACTGATGTAAGTAAGTACAAAGTTCTACGTTGTTACTAACTGACTGATTGACTAAAAACCATTTGTAGTTTGTAAAATTTTGTTTTCACCCTTAAACAATACCTTTTTCAATTTATTCTTTTAGATAAACAACAAGACTCATCAGATGTAATATATAAAAAACCTAAACTATTGCATTTACGTGGAACAAGTCTTCGATCAACACCATGTGGTCAAGATGATATTGTAAAGAAATGCAATGGAGGAATTTGTTTAAATCTTGGTGGTGATGGATATATTTGTGAATGTCTACCTGGATATTTAGCAATCAATGGAGGGCGAACTTGTGTAAAACATAAAGGTTTGTAGCTATTTATAATATTTCTAATCTGATTCATCAGATTTCTTGGTACCTGTGTGATTACGTCACAGGATTATGCTTATTCAGATTTTAAAAAGCCTGGTTTATCTAGTTCTCATGCAAGGTATTCTAAAATTACCGCTTTCAAAGATGTATTTACTATTGTATATGGTGAAGCTATTAATTAATGGTTAAGGTTTTGATTTCAGCGGTAAAGTCTTAGATTTAAACTCCTTTCCACTTATTACATCTTGGCCAAACGGCTAGTAACATTATTTCTTATACTTAGTATAAGTTAATGGCCAATATGTAATGTAAGTAATTTTTCTAGTCAACAACCCACCGTTAGTATAACCTCACTAATTCCATTACTAAGCAGACCATGTAGTGCTAAATACTTGTAAATAGTTGTAAGTTAGCTTTCAAATAGATAACTAGTGTGGTATCAGCCTCTGTATCAGTAGCCTTTGACATACACAAAGGAAAACCCATGATCCTCAAATACAACATGGAGAACACCGATCCAATCACATTTGATTGCGAAACTCTGGAAGATGTAGAATCCTTCACATAACTGGATAGAATCATCGATGAACGAGGAGGATCGGATGCAGACGTAAATGCGAGGATTGGCATTGAAGAACAGATGGCACTGTCAACAACAACTTTCAACCAACATCAAAGTATCGAGCTGAAACATGGAGAACTACTACAACCATCTTCAATAAGATACAAGTATTTATAAATAGTTGTCTACTCAAAGTACTCAATATCCATTAGCCGGATACTATCAGCAACAGCCTACTGAGGGAGATAACAAACCAACTTCCAACTAAAAAGTGTAAAAACGGAAGGCCAAAGAACACATAACGTCGGGAAAGGGAATCAGATATGAAAAGGATGAATAAGAGCTGGAAACGATTTCCCAGAATAGGGTTGGATGCAGTGTGTTGGTGGGTGGCCTATGCTCCTCCATGAGCAGTAACAGGCGTAAGTAAGTATGTAAGTAGCTTTCAAATATATGGATGGATATACTGTTTTCACTGTTGCATATATTGTAAATGTGATGTCCTCTGTCTATATTTTCTATTCACCAACTGCTATATAGTTTGACATAACGGATTAGTTAGAACACAAATTCACACATGATCGTGTATTAAGAACAAATAAGAAAACGACTTAACACAAGATTTCATTATAAGCAAAGATGGATGATGGCTAGTAGTGGAATCCAGAACGCACATTTCTTCTTACTTAGGACTCGTCAGCTGAATATATTTGCATCCCAGAGTTGATGTTCACTCCAGGACTCGAACCCAGTACCATTCGACTGAAACGCTACCGTATAATCCATTTAGCATCAACTCTGAGGTGAAGGTAATATCCAGTTGGCAAATCCCAAATAAGACGAAACGTACGTCAATCTGGACGATCTAGACTTTGCAGATGATCTAGCCCTTCTATCCCAAACGCAACAACACATGCAGGAAGAAACGACCAGCGTAGCAGCAGCCTCAGCAGCAGTAGATCTCAATATACACAAAGGGAAAGGAAAGATTCTCCAATACAACACAGCATGCACCAATCCAGTCACAATTGACGGAGACGATTTGGATGATGTAAAAACTTTTAAATATTCGGGCAGCATCAGTGATGAACATGGTGGGTAAAGCAAGAGCAGCATATTTACAACTGAACAATATCTGGAACTCAAAACAACTGTCTGTCAACCAACAACAAAGTCAGAATTTTCGATACATATCTCAAAACAGTTATACTGTATCGGGCAGAAACTTGGAAAACTACCACAACCATCATCCAGAAGACACAAGTGTTTATTAACAGTTGTCTACGCAAAATACTTCAGATCCGTTGGCCGGACACTATTAGCAACAACCAACTGTGTGAAAGAACAAACCAGATCCCATCGGAGGAAGAAATTAGGAAGAAGTGCTGAAAGTGGACAGGACACACATTGAGAAAACCACCCAACTGTGTCACAAGACAAGCCCTCACATAGAATCCTGAAGGCCAAAGGAAAAGAGGAAAAACAAAGAACGCATTACGCCGGGTAATGGAGATAGACATGAGAAAAATGAACAAGAATTGGATGGAACTAGAAAGGAAGGCCCAGGACAGAGTGGGTTGAAGAATGCTGGTCAGCGGCCTATGCTCCATTAGGAGTAACAGACCTAAACAAGTAAGTAAATCATTATCTTCGCTTATAAAGCTTGTGACTTAAGACAATATCGATGTAATCCACACACTGGAAGTATATAGACCAACAAGGAATTGATCAATTATAGTCTTAAAACAACAATGGTGAGTTACTATTAAACAATCACAAATGAATGTACAATATTTCATTTCTTATCTTTTTTCAGATAACCAATAAATAAAAAACTATAAGATAATAAATGTATATTCAAATAGTAGTTTTATATGATGATAAAATATGGATCATTTACAAAATATACAAAGATACCAAACCTTTCAAATTGTGGTAAAGGAAACATTAAGTTGAGTGTTATACAGATGGGAACAGAAAATGGTATATGTACCTAGCAACAAATACATTTAAAAACAGATAGAATGAATAATTTGTTCTGCTTTTTTTTCTTTCTTTTCTGTAACTAACGTCAATGGAAATGAATGTTGGGAAACTTTTAAGTGTTATATTCAATTTAGATACTAAAAAAAAAAACCAAACCAAACCGGAGCAGAACGAAACAAAGCCGATACATGATGATACTGTTTCCTTTGAAATAATAAGAAATTATTCATTCTTCTTCTTTCTTACGTAATGTAACTTAAATTTACATGTTGGTAGAAGTAATGAATAAAATGTTTATTCATTTTAAACTATAAATCATATATCTCGTTGATTGTTATGTCGGAATAATTCATTATTACTTATAGTTGTAAAGTAAGGAACCACTGCAATTCCTTTAATGTGAAAGTATGAACACGAAAACTGATGTAACAGAAGATTTACTGATTTACTTACTTACTTATTTAAGCGTGTTACTCCCAATGGATTATAGGCCGCCGACTAGCATTCTCCAGTCCATTCTGTCCTCTTTCTTTCTAGTTCTACCCAATTTCTGTTTATTCTTCTCATGTCTATCTCCATTTCTCGGCGTAATTTGTTCTTTGATCTTCTTCTTCTTTGTCCTTCACGATTCCAAGTGAGGGATTGTCTTGTGACGCAGTTGGGTGCTTTCCTCAATATGTGTCCTAACCACTTCTAGCACTTCTTCCTGATTTCTTCCTCCGCTGGAATTTGATTTGTTCTCTCCCACAGTAGGTTGTTGCTGATGATAGTGTCCGGTCAACGGATCCGAAATATTTTGTGTAGACAACTGTTTATAAATACTTGTATCTTTTCCATGATGTTTATGGTAGTTTTCCAAGTTTCAGCTCCGTACAGTAGAACTATCTTGACATTTGTATTGAAAATTAGAACTTTAGTGTTGATTGACAAATGTTTTGAGTTCCAAATATTCTTCAGTTGTAAGTATACTACTCTTGCTTTTCCGATCCTCGCCTTCACATCCACATCAGATCCATCATGCTAATCAAGGATGTTACCCAGATACATAAAAAAGACTCCATCTCTTCTACAGTTTCTTCATCAAGTGTGATTGTGTTGGTGATGTGCATGTTGTAGTTGAGGATCTTGCTTTTTCCCTTATCTATGTTATATTGAAGCCTACTAATGAAACAAAACATTAGCACACAGATAATATTTGTAGGCAAAATTTAAAAAAAAGAAAATGTTTCTATGTAAAACTACATTTCTTGTACAGTGAAGTTACAAGATTTAACATCAACTGAGGTGGTACATGACTGAAATTTAAAAAGGAAGAAAGAAGTAGATGTACATAGAATCAATTATAGACAATTAGAAGTGTACTTGATTAGATATATATTCTGTCGAATAACCTTCTTTGTAATATGACAGGATATTTCAATGATTTGACATATCTTCTAAGGGAAAAACTAAGAAACATCCCTACATACCTTTCAAGATTGTGACATGATACATATTCACAATTCATCTTATATAACCGATAATACCGATCATCAAATAGATATGGAATCATGTTAGATGAATGAATTACATATCATAACTAATTAGTTTTTTTGGTAATTTTCTAAGTTTCAACTTTGTATAGTAGAACTATCTTGATGTTCGTATAGAAGATTGTGATTTTAATATTGGTTGATAAACAGTTGTTGTAATTTTCATATGTTCTTCAATTGTAGGAATGCTTTCCTTGATTTGTCAATTGTCATCTTTACGTCTGCATCTGATCTTCCTTGTTTATCTTATTTACTAACGCCTGTTACTCCTAATGGAGCATAGGTCACCGATCAGCATTCTCCAACCCACTCCGTCCTGGGCCTTCTTTTCTAGTTCCATCCAATTCTTGTTCATTTTTCTCATGTCTATCTCCATTTCTCGGCGTAATGTGTTCTATGGTCTTCCTCTTTTCCTTTGACCTTGAGGATTCCATGTGAGGGCTTGCTCTGCGACACAGTCGAATGGTTTTCTCAATGTATGTCCTATCCATTTCCAGAGTTTCTTCCTGATTTCTCCCTCTGCTAGGATCTGATTTGTTCTCTCGGAATTAAAAACTCCATAATCGATTATTTGCATATGACTTCAGGGTTTTTATTTCAAAATTGTTTATAAATATCCAAAGACTCATCATTAAATAGTTTGGGCAGTTATTTAATTTATATCACAAACTAATATTAAATTGATATATCACTCTTATCGTAGTGTGATCTGATGAAGTCCATGTAATTTTGTGAATGCGTTTATGTTTGTTTATCTTATATAACCAATAATACCGATAATCATATAAAAATGAAATCATGTTAAATGAATGAATTACTTATCCAGAAAACTCATTTGGTATTGCTTGTTTGAATCTTCCCTTTGATGTTTAAGACTACAATTAAACAGCCTCTTATTGATTACATGTGCACACCGTGTGTATTGCTTTGATATAGCCTTAATTCACAAGTATTCTAAGCAAACATTCAGTTGACGAGTCGAAAATAGGACGAAACGCGCATCAAACTGGATTTCACTATTAGCCATTATCGATCTTTGCTTATAATCCTTGTGACTGAAGGTAGTATCGAAGCAATACACCCAGTATGCAATCGTAAACATCAATGGGAAGATTCAAGTAAATAATATCAAGTGAATTTAAACTTCACCCCATTGTACAAGCAAGTGGCTATCAGAACTTACTAGTTAAGTGGATAACGTGATGGCGTTTGAACCGAACGGTAGTGGGTTAGAGTCACAAAGTGAACATTAACTCTGAGATGCAGGTATATCCAACTGAGAAGCCCAATACTAGGACGAAACAGTCGTTCAGCGCTTCCAGGTTTTCCATGGTGGTCTAGTTTCAATTGACTCATGATTTCAACTTCTGGAATTATTTCTGTTTCTTCGTTAATAACATAGAAGGTTCGTTATTATTCATTTTTTAAAATTTGGAATACTGACGTACTTTAACAAGTTAGCCACTGAAAACCAGGTATATTTATCATTTTAGTATGAACTTTATCAATTATTGATACTCAGCAGAACTAGAGAAAATCTGATTGAAGTACATCATTAGTGAATGCATGATTGTTATTCTTGATATAAGCGGTTTGTAGAGTGGGTATTCTAAACAGAGACAGTGTTTAATTACCCATTTTGCCAGTAAACTCAGGGACAAAAGTACGGTGTGTATATGACTAGTCCACTACATAGATAACAGAGTATAGTTGGTAGATAACCTACTGTAAGAAGTATCAGAAGGCACCTACCATACACTCCATAATTGTACAATATGACTATTTCTCAAACAAAAATCTATCGTATAAACGTAAATACATCACATTTATCGATTTAAATTGATTGATCATTGAGTTTAGTTTGAATAAGGCAATATTGTAACTACAACAGATCTATCTGTTAGACCTAACCAGTCATTCAATTGAAGGTTGTATGAACTTGATCATTTTGAAGATGAACTTTCGTTCATCTATAGACACCAATATTTCACTTACATTTAATATATACATGAAAACTGTACCATTTTACAAGTTAATGGTGGTCTAACATCAATCGGTTCAAGAACTCAATCAATAACTTAATAATCTACACAACCCTATACTGAAAATTGGAAAAGGCTAATTGTCAAAAAAGGACATTGGCATATTTGGTTTAGTGTTAGAAAAATTTGATTGCATGATTAATTGTCAATCCTCAAAAAAAAAGAATAAATACACGACCCTATGTTGAATACTATGCACCAAATGACAGTTTTAATCTTGCAATATATATATGTTGGCCGTATAGCATCAGCAACAGCCTACTATGGGAGAGAACAAACCAACTTCCAACTGAGGAGGAAATTAGGAAATAACGTTAGAAGTGGATAGGACACACATTGAGGAAATCGTCAAACTGCATGATAAGGCAAGCGCTAACTTGAAATTCTGAAAGGAAACGGAAAAAAGCAACGTCAAAGAATACACTGCATCGAGAATTGAAAGCAGACATGAAAAGGGTGAATAGCAACTGGAAGGAACTGAAAAGGGTTGCCCAGAATAGAGTTGGGTGAAGAATGCTAGTGAGCGGCGTATACTCCTCCACGTAAAGTAACAAGCTTAAGTAATATATATTCAAATACTCAGTCGTTTGAACAGAAGTTTAGTCTTTTGAAATCTAGTCAGTTGCAAATTGATGCTGGATTATGTTAATCGATTTATCTCCTACCTATTTATTGATACTTAAAAATTCCATATTACTCGTAGCTATTACTCTTTACTGAATTTCTAATTATTTTATATCTTTTTGTAGAAGGAGCAGATAATGTATTGCAAAATGATGAAAGTGTTGAAGATATCAGAAAATCTTTTCATCCAGTAAACAGTAAACAATATAATTGTAAGTTATGATAGATATTTATTTCTAAAATAAAGTACACTTCTTGAGGTAGGATGGTGGTTGAAGGTTTCATGTTCGAGTGAGCGTGTGTACAAGCAAGTAGAGACCTTGAACACGATTAAAATGTACATATATATATCATCAACTAACAGTAAGGCTAGCAGAATGAATATATACGTTGGTAGTAAGCAATGCTCAAGCATACATATTCATACAAGTGTAACAATAATAAAGGTACGATAATATAGATAAGTTATTTATTGTACGAATGACTCTATTCGTTAAATAAGTTAATAAAAGGGTTTAATCAAATGAAATGTAAACAAACTCAATTGTACATGAGCTGCTATAACAGTAAAATTGTCTCATGAATAAAAATGTGAACTGTTTGTGATTTGAAAAATAACAGTTATATACTACTTATACACCTTCATAAATCATGTTTGAATATCATAGAATGAACTAAGCCAGGGCTAACCGGTTATATGAAGTACTCAAGTTTAGGACGCATGAACACTGTATACAAAGTCAAAAACGTTTTAGCATCGACATGACTAAAAGCCCTGCGTATTGATCAAAAAGTTCTAAAACCTTTGGCGACTATTGCACAGCAGTGTGCAGTAGTCTTTAAATCTTGGCTAACGATGATTCTTAACTCATATTCTTTATTATTTATCTTTCCATTATCTAACTGTTTCTATTATTATATTATTTCACAGATATAAACCATTTTAAGAAAGATTCCAATACACAATTATATAAATATAAATCACCATGTAGTCGAAATGATGTGCTAAACAAATGTGAATGGGGTACCTGTTTGAATCTTGGTAGAAATTCCTATAAATGTGATTGTTTACCAGAATATCAATTTACACAAACAGAAGGTTGTATTCGTAAGATTCATAAAGGTAAAAAATATCCTGTTTTTTCAAATATTGAATAGCTATAGGATCTGATGAGAATTTATTGAAAAAGTACTTTGTTCATAATGTGTGGTATGTGCTACTGATATCAACAGATATAAGTAGTATGCAATGATGGGTAGTGGCTAGCAGTGAAATCCAGGACGCGGGTATCGTCCTATTTGGAACTCGTCAGCTGGATGTACCTGCATCTTAAACCTCAATGGGAAGATATAAGCCAAACAATACCAAGTGAATTTAAATTCACCCCATTGCACAAGCTAGTGGCTATGAGGACTCAGTAGCTGAGTGGATAACGCGATGGCCTTTGAAGCGAATGGTACTGGGTTCGATTCTTAGAGTGAGCATCAACTCTGAGATGCAGGTACATCCAGCTGACGAGTCCCAAATAGGACGAAACGCGCGTCTTGGATTCCACTGCTAGCCACTATCCATCATTGCTCACAAATAACTTGTGAATTAAGGTAATATCCATGCATATGCCCAGTGTGCGCATATGCCAATAACAGACTGATCAATTGCAGTCTTAAACAAGCTAAACAATATCAAGTGAATATAAGTAGTATGTATCATGAATCGAAAGTGAAATGTCTAGTGGTAGAAGGTTAAAAAGTTCGAAGAAAAGAGAATGAGAACAAAGAATGATTGGTGTGAGAACGAAGGAACAATGAATGATTTACTGTGTGGTTCACAGATTTTACTAAGAGATTCTGTAATTCTATGTCCAGATACATTTGGTTGTCTACCACTTGTATTCTGGCTTACTACAATTAAAATAAAATAATTGATTAGTGTTTAACACATTCTCTTCAGTTCCTTAAAAAAAAAGTAAAACAATGGTAAATATGATCGATTTTCTAATCACTGATCATTGTGTTTGTCTAGATTTTAGCATTGATTGATTGTCTTACAATGTAATCTCTTGTCTAATTGGTTCAACATCGCATACACTGTTTTTGATATTTCGGTGGTTGAAAATAGTTTGTAGAAATCTCTAGAATTAAGTTTTGTACTGATTGTATTTATTTAAACCGAAATCTGTATTGTATTGATTTGGATTTTCAACTTTCTCATGATCTATATACGAATCCTTACTTACTTACTTACGCCTGTTACTCCCAATGGAGCATAGGCCACCGACCAGCATTCTCCAACCCACTCCGTCCTGGGCCTTCTTTTCTAGTTCCATCCAATTCTTGTCCATTTTTCTCATATCTATCTTCATTTCCCGGCGTAATGTATTCTATGGTCTTCCTCTCCTCCTTCGGACTTGAGGATTCTATGTAACAGCTTGTCTTGTGATACAGTTGGGTGGTTTCTTCAATGTGTATCCTATCTACTTCCAGCGCTTCTTCCTAATTTCTTCCTCCGCTGGGATATATACGAATCCACTAGTTACATACTTTTTCCATTTGAGTTCCTTTTCATTTTGTTCTAGTCACTTATTCACTTAGTTTCTTTAAGAACTGATTAATTGATGATAGAACTAAGTTCATAACAAATCTAACTATTTTTGTGTGGAGTATTTATTGAATTGATACATCTTGTACTTGAACACTTAGACATTATCTATTTCACTGCTTCCTAGTCCCCGTAAATCTCATACCATCCAATCCAGAACTCAATAATTCATTTTTATGATCATTATCACCACCACCACCACCACCATAAAATGTACAAATCATTACATTTTTCGGATTCATAACGATTGACGTTTTCAATGTCTCACATCAACTCGACACCCAAATACTAGGAAACTATGTTTTAGGAATTAACTTCATAAATGAAAAACTGTAGTAAACATGAACACAAGTGGTGGACAATCAAATGTATTTTGAACAAACAAATTACATAACATTTTAGTGAAATCTGTTAACCATACAGTAAGTAATTCATCTGTAAAATGTTAATCAATCATCCATAAACTTCACTGTCTCTTCATTCTTAGTCTAATCACTCTCTGTCCGCATTCTCTATTCTTTGATTTTCTTAATCTTCTGCTACCAGACATTTCACTTTCGATTGACGATACATACTACTTATATCTATCGACATCAGTAGCACACACCACAAAACTACTTTGTTGTGATCCACTTGCAATTCACATGTAAAATGAACTACGATATACACTGTATCGAATACGATGTAAAATATTCAAATAACTGTACAGAATAAATAGATCGTAGATAACAGTGTGGAATGCATAACATCTATTCCGCCCATTTTTGAATTTCCCAACTAAATGAACACAAATCCTATTGTTGATGCCTATACAAAGAATTCTGTGTTCAAATATTAGCTGAAGTCAGTCTATTCTACAAAGTTTAAGACATGATTATGTCAAGACTATATGCTGCACAGTCAAGAATATTAATAATAGGATGATTAAAACCTCTTACAAATTAAATTTAATTCATAGGAATATCAAAACAACTTGGATGAAAGGATCAATGGTGAGACTATAATTTATGGACAAACCAATCAGGTATAAGATAACTGGTCTCGGATTTTGGTTCGAAATCCGTTGATCCGTTTGGCTAAATAGAGTTTTGACATTATAGCTAATCTCAGTTGGTTATGAGAACCCTATATCCAATTCCTAACCCTAACCATCAACTGTAATTCATAATTCAAATTCCTCACACTGGTTTATAACTCCCATTTAGACCTGGTTATTAGGTGTACACTCTCGAGGTCACTAGAGCGTCACTCAAATGTTGTCCGTAAATTATAGTTTCACCTCTTCGTCTCCTCATTACATTATCCAGAATAATATTTACATATTCAATCTGACAACTAATTATTCTTTTAAAATCTACACAGTTTAAATGTTACGTTATGAGAAGCAGTGACCAGTGGAGTTCAACCTAGTATGTTGTGATATAGTAACTTACTGAATACAATAATGGATGTATCGCTCAATTTAGTGGATTGGTTGATGTTAGACATTAATACCATTGGATGCCGGCCAGCTCAGTGGTCTAACCGTTAATGATCTTGGGTTCGAATCTCAAGAGGCGGGATCGTGGGCGCGCACTGCTAAGGACTCCTATGATAGGACGAAACGGCCAATCAGTGTTTCTAGGTTTTCCATCGTGGTTTAAGTATTAAGATTACAATAATATTCATAAAACCCCTTCTGATATTAATAAAATTATTCATTCTATCATTATTGACAACCTGAGATATATCATTCCATTTATAGTAATCATAGATTGTTATGTTAATTATCTTGGCTAAATTTTATTGAATGAATTCAGATCATCAAAAACACAAACAAACAAACACAATAACTTTAGAATTTTCCATCTGAAATATATATCTTAATGATGTAAACAGGGAACCAAGAAGCTCTGACAAACTACGAAAGCTATTTTTCGGGACGTTATTCCATTTTATTCAAAGCCTGTAAAACACTGACATTTATTTTTGTCCCTTTCGTTCGATGTATCATTCATTGCCATACCCCTTTTTGTAATTTAAATATAATATTTTGCACCCTATTTTCTACTCTAATTCTCAACTTTGGACATAATTGTATTTTCTTAATTATTGTATGTTGTGGTCGGGTTAGTCACCTATTTATTCATGTACCTTTTTACACTAATCTGGAATCAGAAGAAATCAGGATATCAGGTATAGATCGAGTAGTGTTCCAAATGTGTTGTCTTCTCTCATTCGCGTACATGTCAGCCAATCAGGTGATAGAATAGTTTTCTTCTCTCTACCCCATTTCGAACTCACGCGTACTAGCCTCAAAGTTAGGTTGGTCAGCCTATCGCGCCAAGGTCTTAACCTGGATTAGATAAGTAACCTCAGCACCAAAAGTGGGTAGACAGACCAAAGGACATAACACTTAATTCTACCAGTTATCTTAATAATTACTTTACTTTACTTACTTACGCCTGTTATCCCTTATCGTGGAGTATAAGCCGTTGACTAGCATTCTTCAATTCATTCTATCCTAAACTTTCATTTTCTACTTCTATTCAATTATTGTTAATTCTTCTCATTTTAATGGTTAAGATCATGAGTCAGTTGAAGCTAGACCACCATGGAAAACCTGGAAGAACTGGACGGTTGTTTCGTCCTATTGTGGGACTCCTCGGCAGTGCGCATTCACGACCTCGCCCCCTGAGAAACTCGAACCCAGGACCTAATGGTTTCGCACGCGAGCACTTAACCACTAAACCACTGAGCCGGTCCTTGAACGAAACGGCCGTCCAGTGCTTCCAAGTTTTCCATGGTGGTCTAGCTTCAACTGACTCATGATCTTAACCATTAAAATTACTATATTATCCACAAGACCCATCTGATATTCTTCTCATTGTCTATCTTCATTTCTCGTCCGTCTATCCTAATAATAAGACAAAATAAATTAAATGTCTAACTGAATTTAAAAGTTCATCAGAGTAAAAAAAAAACACATACACACAATTGTCCTAATCTTTTTCTATGAAAAATATTATAAATACACAATACCCCTCACTTCTTTTATTTTAATGACAAATTAGTTTTATGGAAATATTTCTTCATTCATCACTGTTGCTATGGTAACAGGAACAAACAATTATTTAAAAGTTGACAATCTTTTTTTAATAATAAATGATTAACTATTTATTCTATTATAAATAATATATATTTGACAAATTTTTACAAACGATATAAATCATGTATGATCTGGGTTCGTTTGTTTGGTTTTCTTTTTTTTTTAATACAGAAAAAGAAAAAAGTATTCGTATTTCGAAATGTTTATATTTTTTCGTTATTTAAACTTTTACTACTAACATTTATATGTGATATATGTCCGGTACTTTAACTGATCCTCAAATACAACATAGAGAACATCAATGCAATTACATATGATGGGTCGCATTCCTACAATTGAAGAACACATGGAACTCAAATCAACTTTCAACCAATATCAAAGTGAGAATCTTCAATACCAACGTCAAGGCAGTTCTACTGTATGGAGCTGAAACTTGAAGAACTACTACAACCATCATCAAGAAGGTATAAGTATTTATAAATAGTTGTCTACACAATATACTCAACATCCATTGGCCGAATACCATCAGCAACAGTCTACTGTGGGAGAGAACAAACTAGCTTCCATCTGAAGAGATAATTAGGAAAAGACAATGAAAATGGATAGGACATACATTACACAAATGATCGAACTGTCTGACGAGGCAAGCCTTAATTTGGAATCCTGAAAGGAAGAGGAAAAGAGGAAGACCAAAGAACACATTACGTCGGGAAATAGAAGCAGATATGAAAAGAATGAATAACAACTGGAAATAGCTAGAAATGATTGCCCAGGACAGGGTTGGATGGAGAATGTTGGTGAGTGGCCTATGCTCGTCCACGAGCAGTAACAAGCGTAAGTAAGTAGGCTTTTACTGGGTCGGTAGACACGGAGGGTCCATCTAGAAGAGTTGGAAAACCCTGATTTCAAATCAATGGTGCATATGGACTTCAGGATCTTGAAGGAATAAATGGCATATGAACGTATTATTAGTCATCGGCTAACATGTGAATGCATCTCCTGACATTGCTCCATTGCCTTGTGGATTAGACCTTCAAGTCAAAGACTCAGTGTTTAGCCACCTAAGAAAATAAAATATTTCAGTTTGGGCACCCGGGAAGTATTTCATCCATCACACAAATCGAGTGATTTATCCAGTGAATATATATTTGGTACTTCTTTGTAGTTTTCAAAAATCCATGTCCAACAATAATACTAATTCTTCCTTAATTTGAATGAAACTAATATAATCATATCTAAGTACACGAAAATGAAGTGCTATGCTTAACTACTTTGTCGTCTGGTTACTCGCTGTTTGAATTATAAAATTCTTCAATTAGATCTTATCAGTATAGAGTTGAAAAAGAATCAATTTAAAACCGGTTCATTTAACGATAAATGCTTGATCCATATCAGAAGGGGTTTTGTCTATATTGTAGTAATTTCAAAAGTTCAGATCATGAGTCATCACCATGGAAAACCTGGAAGTGGACGACCGTCTCGTCCTATTGTGGGACTCTTGAGCAGTGCGTATACGCAATCCCGACTCGCGAGATTCGAACCCAAGACCACTAACGGTTAGACCACTGAGCTGGCCGGCATCCAACGGTGTTAATGTCTAACTTCAACCAATCCACTAAATTGAGGCATACATCCATCTCTGTCTTCAGTGAGTTACTATATCACAACAGACTAGGTTGAACTCCATTTGTCACTGCTTCGCACTAGAACTCTAGTAAATTCCACTTGAAGCTAGTCACTAGTGAGCATATGATGATTCATATCAGAAGTGCTTTTGTGAAGTTTTATAGTCTTCATCAAACCTTCAACAGAAGTTTATGAATTACACAGATAAGTAGATTTATATCAGACAATGAAAAGAACTAAAGACCAAAATAAGTATCATTACGAAGGTTTGATTTGATAATTTCAAATAAATTAAGTGCTGGGTAGAATCGGCTATTTATTCTATGAAGAAGTGACTTACACTGAATCATCAAACATCAGAAAATCTAATTTTGCTACTTATTGGAATGTTACATATATATACAAACCAATAATGACCCCAATAATTTTTTCTTAATATCAGAAGGGTTTTGTGGATATGATAGTAATTTTAATGGTTAAGATCATGAGTCAGTTGAAGCTAGACCACCATGGTTAAGTGCTCGCAAGCGAAACCAGTAGTTTCTAGGTTCGAATCTCTCAAGGGGCGGGGTCGTGGATGCGCACTGCTGAGGAGTCCCACACTAGGACGAAACGACCGTCCAGTTCTTCCAGGTTTTCCATGGTGGTCTAGCTTCAACTGGCTCATGATCTTAATCATCGAAATTGTTTATTACATATTTGACTACTTACAAGTAGTTAAACATTATTTACTAAAATTTTCTGTTTTAGATTCTTCACAATTACAAAATAAATCAACATCAATACATAATACAACAATTTTTTAACATAATTTTATGGATTCATTAATTAATTTAGTATATTTTCAATTAAAAATATATATATATCAAACTATTTAATGATCAATAAATCATACAATTAGCTTTCTTCACTATTTGAACATGCATGAACATTCACAAATGTAAATTTCTTCAAAACATTGAAATTAGCTATTTTACAAATATGGTAGAAATATTAACAATTTAATGATCCACTTAATATAGAACACTTGGATCAACATTAAGATTATGCAATATGCATAATTACAACAACAACAACAACAACAACAAAAACATCGAATCAAATTCTTCTCTTATCTTCATATGGATATCATCGTTGAATCATTTAAAGAATTTTCACTAGATATATGATAGTCAATTACATATCTAATATTAAATGTTTGCATGAAACATTTTAATAGAGAATTATTTATTTTGAAATTCTTTCTCTTTTCTTTTCCTTTTCTGACATCATTTTAATAAGTACCCCCCAACAACAACAACGAAAAAAAAACACACACCACCACCACCACTATCACTATCTGTAAAACTTTATGGTTCACAGAAAAGAAAAGTGAACAAATTGAAACCATATCCTCTATTCATGATAATACTCATCTTATTTTAACATTGTTTCTATGTGTGTCTGTCTCTCTGTATGTGTGTGTGTCAGTTATTCCTATTTAAACAACATAATATTTATTTAATTAAAAATATTTATAAATTTATCATCATTAGAAATGTGTTTAAAAGTCAATTGTCTATTTCATATACATATATATAATGGTTTGAATTATTTTATTTTCTGGTTAGCGTTTTCTTAGCGTGTTATTTTTTTATAGGATGGGGTTGTTAACCACCGTATAGCCAAACCCTTCTGTTTTATCCGGGTTTGGGTCCGGCAGTAGCTACAGAAGGACTCCAGATGGAGTTACAAACATCGACTTTTAAGATATCTATAGCGTTTACCATATCTGTAAATCCGAACTCAAAGTTGCTTCCTGCAATACTAACATAAAGAATAATTACAACATACGGATAGTGGAAAGAATAGCTGTTAGTTATGTTCAAACTTGGTAACAGTTTATCAGCAAGCAAAAATTGAATCAAGAACAAAAAATATGGGAATTGTTTCCTTTAAACAAGGATTAAATAATTATACAAAATTGTGAATAACTGCTGCAGTGCTTGAGATAAATCAATTATAATGATAAATGTTATAATTAAATGTAAATTTTACAAAATATTACATGACAAACTTGCGTTACAACATAAGCTTAGAAATTGCTAGGAAAAACACTACTTACTGAATATTGATAAGTAGTATAAAACGATACAAAAAAGAGTCGAAGGGAACGTATATATATATATATATATATATATATATATATATATATATATATATATATATATATATATATATATATATATATATATATATATATATATAATAATTATTCATTCGTATTCTTATTACCATCCTGGATCCAACTCTACGAGAGTGAGCTACTATAATATCGATAGCATGTTTCTGATAGGTTTTCCTAGTAGCATTGTGTTCTCTGAGCTGAATAACATCAATATACCATTCTGTAAACAGAATTAAGTTTTCTCAAAATTAATCCACCAACGGTAAATCAATCCGTTCTGATGACTACTTTTCAAACCGGTTATCTAGGCAGGTCCTATTATCTGAAAATATCTTTCCATTTATTGTTCGTTTGTGACTATCTCATGGATTGATCTTGATTAAGTGATTTAATAAGTTGAATCCATTTAAACTGATTTCAAACTGACCTAAATATCACATTTTTTAGAAAATCCCAAGAATTTATGAAATTTTGATAGAGACAAGAACAGAGAAGAAATTGGCATTTTTAACTCGTTTTTTAAAATTCGCTTGATCCAACATTTTAGCACCTTCATGATCTAATGCCTCCGTGGTTGTTTCCATATATATGAAAAATAGTAATAATATTCTTATTGATATTACTTACTTCCGCCTGTGACCTCTCGTAGAGAAGCAAATGGAGGTCACAAGCATTTTTTATCCAACTCTGTCCTGGGCAATCCACTTCAGTTGCTATTCATCCTTTCAATGTCTGCTTCCAATCCTCGACGCAGTGTGTTCGTTGGCCTTCCTATTTTTCGTTTCCCTTTAGAATTCCAAGTTTACGCATGCCTCGTGATGCAGTTTGATGATTTCAATAATACACAACCTATCCATTTCCAAAGTTTTTTCTTAATTTCCTCCTCATCTGGATATTGGTTTCTTCTCTCCCACAGTAGACTGTTGCTGATGATATCCGGTCAACGGACAATCAGTATCTTGTGTAGATAATTGATTATAAATACTTGTAATCTTTTGATGATGATTGTAGTGGTTCTCTAAGCTTCAGCTCCGTACAGTAGAACTGTATTGACGTTTGTAACCAAGATTCTCACTTTGATATTGGTTGACGGTGGGCCTGAGTCCCCTATGTTCTTCAACTTTAGGAATGCTGTCCTTGCTTTTCCAATTCTTACCTTTACGTCTGCATCAGATGTTCCACGTTCATCGATGATTCTTCCCAGGTACGTTAAAGTTTCTACCTCTTCCAGAGCCTCGCCATCAAGTGTGACTGCGTTGGCTTTCTCCGTGCTGTATTTTATGATTTTACTTCTTCCTTTGTGTATATTGAGGCATATTGATGCAGAGACAACTGCTACACCGTTTGTTTTGACCTGCATTTGTTGTTGTGCATAAGGCAGATAGGTCAAGGCATCTGTGAAGTCCGAATCGTCTAGTTGCATCCAAGGTGGCCATTGTATTCCATGCTTCCCCTCACATTTAGAGGTCTTTATAATCCAGTCAACCACCAGAGGAAGAGAAAGTAGCCTCGTCCAATTACGCTTTTCACTTGAAATGCATCTGTCAGCTGTTCTCCATGCACCACTTTAAAGTTTAGTCTATCATATGGATTTCGGATGGTATTAACGATTTTATACCATAGTGTCGAAGAAGTCTCCATAACGTTCACACTGTCAAATGTTTTCTCATAATCAAGGAAGTTGATGTACAGTGATGAGTTCCACTCAACTGATTGTTTAACAATGATCCGTAGTGTCACGATTTGGTCTGTGCACAACTGATTCGTACAAAATTCTGCTAGTCGATCTCGAAGCTGGACGCCTATTGAGTATTTCATCCGGTTCAGCAACACTGTTGAAAACTTTTCCTGGTACCGATAGTAGTCTGTGCCTCTGTACTTCCCACGCTTTCTCAGATCTACTTTCTTTGGTACCTTGACGAGGTAACCTTCTTTACATTTTATCGACACTTTTTCTTCTTCCTAAATCTTCGTAAATGGAATGTGGAGCATGTTTGTAATTACTTCTATGACTAACTTCAGTGCTTCAGCTGGTATATTCTCAGGTCTTACTGCTTTCCCACTCTTGATTTGTCTGGTGGCCATCCTGATTTCTTTGATCGTCGGTGGAGTGGCATCTATAGGAAGGTCTGTAAATGCTGCTTCAGTGTCCGGTGGATTCGATGGAACTGGTCTATTCAAGAGTTCCTCAAAGTACTCTACCCATTTGTTCCTCTGTCGTTGAATTTCAGGGGTTGTTTTGCCTTCTTTGTTATTGACCGGTCTCTCTGGTTTACTATATTTTCCTATCAGTTCCTTCGTCGCGTCATACAGTTTATTGATATTTCCTTCCCTTGCAGCTTTTTCCGCTGTCGTTGCTAGGACTTCCACAGATTCCTGATTGTCAGTTCTAACACTCCTCTTCACTCTCTTGCTTCCTAATGCGTATTCAGCTTGTACCTTCACGTTCTCTGTTCTTGTTCCACTGTTGTTAATTGCTATCTTCTCGTTCTTCTTCCTTTCTTGAATGTTACCCAAGATTTCGATAGAGATCCACTTCTTATGATGATGCCTCTTGCAGCCCACCACCTCTTAACATGTTGAAGTTAATGATTCTTTAATTTCTTCTCAGTTATCCTCCATAGTAGTTTCTTCTTCTTTCAGTAGATCCTGCAAGACTTGTAAGCTGTTGTTGAAAGTTATTTTGCATGCATTGAGTTTGTCAGTATCTCGAAGGAAAGTTGTATTGAACCTTTGTACTTCTGTTTCCCCAGTTTTTCAGTGCTTCATTAGCTTCAGTTTCATCTTGGCCACAACCAGGTGGTGATTTGAAGCTATATCAATTCCCCTCCTACTTCTCACGTCTCCGATTGACCTAACGAATTTTTTACTAGTGCGAATATGATCCATCTGGTTCTCTGCGGTATGATCAGGTGAGAACCAAGGAGCTTTGTGTATGCGTTTGTGAAGGAACATAGTGCCGTTTATGACCATTTTGTTGAATGCACATAGATTTGCAAATATCTCACCATTCCCATTCCTTTCTCCCAGTCAGTTCATGTTGTCCCATAATATTTTCATATCCGTTGTCCATTCCAACTTTGGCCTTTAGGTATCGCGTCAGGATGGTCAGGTCGTTCCCTAGGCACTTCGCTATAATTAATTGCAACGTCTCATAGAACTGATCTTTATCGTCATCATTGTTGTCATTGGTGGGTGCATGACATTGGATAACATTCGTTGTGATTCCTTCCTTCTTTGTTCTGAAGGATGGTTTGATGATTATGGATACATGAGATTCCCATCCTATAAATATTCTACGTGCTTTTTGGGTAGCACCAGAGCAACTCCTTGTGTGTGAGGAGCATTCTCTTTTTCGTGAATCCGTTATTGATATACACATTACTATACTAAAAAGAATAATGAATTAGGATACCATATGATACAAAAATCGAGTTTATTAGGACGAATCCTAGATTGATGAATGAAGAAATATCAAGATCTTTCGCATGACAGGTAAAGAAACTAGTAAGTTCAAATAAAATGAATACAAGAACGGGCAAAAATGTAATCAACACAACGTATTGCGCAACACAGAAGATTCACCTTTTAGTTCACAGTGCTTCATTAATTTACATGAATAGTGAAAAGCGTTAGGGTTGTAGTAGGTTAAATTGGAATAGAATAAGATGTCTAGATTTGCTCCAAACTCCACAGGTGAAAAAAATTTTCGAGACACCCAGTTTCAAGTACACTATAAGCAAACATCTTAACTGTTAATAAGTAAAGTAGATGGCATAGCACCAGGAGTGCATATTTCATAAACGACTTAAAACATAGGTTGAAAATCTAAAAACATAGCTGGTTGGGCAAATATTTTCTGAAGTTTCCTGTAACTCTCTAGTTACGATTACGGCAATCAGACAACTACGACAGAACCACAGTAGAAAATATTACTGTGCCACAAAAGTCTTAGAATAAACTCCACGCTGTCAAGTCATCTAAGTGTAACGTAGTCAGTAATTAAGGTAATGTCATCGCTTGTTTAGTCACTCAATTATAGATTTCTTAAAGTAATTCCTATCATAGGATTAACTGTAGGTAAGACTCCTGTCATGTTTTGATTTTTATTCCACCATGAATGACTGCGCTACACTTGATACGTCCGAAACACGATGGAGTGGCACTTTCCTCATAAAAACTTCGCATTTTTTATGTAAGCCAGAAAAGACAGCAGACGCTCTCCATCGTGCATTACTTACTTACTTACTTACGCCTGTTACTCCCAATGGAGCATAGGCCGCCGACCAGCATTCTCCAACCCACTCTGTCCTGGGCCTCCTTTTCTAATTCCATCCAATTCTTGTTAATCTTTTTCATGTCTATTTCCATTTCTCGGCGTAATGTGTTCTTTGGTCTTTCTCTTTTTCTTTGGCCTTGAGGATTCCATGTGAGGGCTTGTCTTGTGATGCAGTTGGGTGCTTTCCTCAATGTGTGTCCTATCCACTTCCAGCGCTTCTTTCTGATTTCTTCCTCCGCTGGGATCTGGTTTGTTCTCTCTCACAGTACGTTGTTACTAATAGTGTCCGGCCAACGGATCTGAAGTATTTTGCGTAGACAACTGTTAATAAACACCTGTATCTTCTGGACGATGGCTTTCGTAGTTCCCCAGGTTTCCGCCCCATACCAATCGTGCATTACGACAGTGTAAATAATTATCGCCTCACTTTGGTTGGTAACTAGGTTCTAGATCAAAATTGCGGACGAGAGTGGTTTATCCCCACGCCAAAAATTTCATGTTTGACAAAAACGATAGTATTGCGAATCAAATTATTTTTACAATGATTAACAGAAAAACTTCACTAATCAGCAATGCAAACCAGTATAACACGTCACCACTTAAATTTGTTTACGTCTAAGTTTTGTCACACCCTTCAATTAATGTATTTAACATACAATGTCATTCGAACAGTAACAATTTGTCTTTATCTTTGAATTACTATTATCATGTCTGAATGAGCATGTAGGCTTGATTACATGTGACAGTCTAAGCACATATTCTTCTTTCTAGCCTAAATGTTAATTGCTTAAATCGCTCGATAAATCACTCGTTTTCCTATATATATAATTTTATTAATCCACTCGACCTCTAAATTCGCTCTCATTAGCACTACTGCCGGAACTCACTGTGTCCCTGTGGCTTAATGATTTCTCCGATACAATAAAAAACTGTAATCGATGCTTCGTGTCAGCATTCTAATATTAATGCACCTGTGAAATTTACTTAGTAACGGTTATCAGGACGACTGATAACGAAGCCTTAATAACTACGTATGTCTGAACACCGATTACCACGACGCGCAATGCTGACTAGCGTTGGGGATGGTTAGAAAAAAGTTAGGGGAGGTCAAACCAAAACGTGGCATCAGTCCTTGTAGTCACTAACTCCTAGTCTTAACCATGTTGATAGATGTAGACTAACTGATTGTAGTCCGCGTGATTATCACAATGGAGTAGATGTATACACTCTCTATCTTCCTTTAAAATATGAGATTAAAATCACTTCATATACTTATTTCTACGAACTAATTCTTTCTTCCTGTAATATATTCTTATATGCAATCTTTCTTTTACATATTACCACCTCTGAATTAACTACTTTTATGAATTCAGTGTTCATCTTGTTGTGCTAATGAGGTATGGCAACTTGGATCAATGCACATGTGTACCTGGTTCTACATTGTAGTTGATTGACTTAGAAACTATCGTGAAAATAATTCACTACACCAGTTTTCAAGGGAATTTGTATACGTTGTGGGACAAATCCCAAAGATTATTAAAGATAATGAGAAAAATCTAATTTCGAAAAAAAAATCTGTTTATTTTCCAATAAAGAGCAATACATATAAGATGAAAACGTTAACTGGAACTTTCAACAACGGAAGCATTAGTACTAGTGATATCTCTGCTATACAACATTTCTAAAGATCGACAAACTATATCATCATTTAGATAAACCACTTTTGTTTTACCCATAATTTCAGCTAGAAATATAGCAAGATTATGTTCACACTAAAGAGGCACATAAAAAAATCACAAAGAAATCATAACCACAAACAAAACAACAGATATTTACCCATAATTCATATAAAGGATTAATATACTTCTGTACTGTGTTAAAACAACGACAATAACGTGTGTAATTTGAACAGTAACTAACCGGACCAGAACCTGATTCTACCTATAAGCAATAAACAGTTTTAATTTCTTTTTGAAACCATAAATTGCAAATTACTCGAAATAGTTGATGCTGAGATGATTTTGATCGTTCAATAGTAATTGAACCACATTCAATAATCAATAATGCTTTCATGATTAAATCACCAAATATATTATGTAATCTTCCAGTAAATAAGATTAATATTTATTTATAAAAGGATACATACAATAAGAGTTGTTCATTTGTTAAGTCACTATTCGCCGGGAGTTGTTGTTTTAAATTACATTTTAAACCTCGAGGCGCGAAAAAGACACTCATTTAAAAACAAGGTCACTGTAGGTCTTCTAACAACTAATTGAAAAAGAAAAATTAAATAACTGATCAGAAACGTTCACAGTAGAAATATGAGACTGATAATTCAATCCAGAAAAGTTACGCTACCGTAACCATCGATTACACAATCATAAGTGATAAAAAATATAATGACTGAAGAGAAATGAACTGACGATGTGGATAATGGAAAACCAGTAACGAACAGAGTAAAATATCCATAATAACTATAAATGTTTGTTTTAAGCACTAGAAAATAACTGGTTTCGACTTCACATCATATTGTTTAGCAGGTCTTCAATCATTAAGTGTTCCCAATACAAGGGTGAACTATACTACTATCACAAGGTTTAAACAAGTCAGTCAGTCAGTAACAACGTAGAACTTCGTACGTACGTACATCAGTTCGAGTTACCATACCACATAAACACAGATACAATTGTCGATTCAAATCCCGTAGTGGTAGATGTAGTAGGAGTATAAGCAGTAATCGCAAACATTAGGGTCTGAAGATGTTATTCAAAGAGTATAATCCAGTGAAATAAATTTGGGAAGAGAAAAAAAGAAGGAGCATGAAGAATTCAGAAGATTAAAATTTGGGACAACACAAAGACTGGATGCACTTGCGCCATTGCAAACGATTTTGAACCATGTCATTCATGGTCTCTAACAATCGGGTGCTATCATCCCGCGGTCCCCAACCAGGTAGTCTGCACCTACCAACATGACTCAACCCACTTGTCAGTGACTTCATGGACTTGTGCCATGTTCTGGTCTGGCCGCCCCTACCTTTCTTCCAACCTACTCCTATACCACTGAACATCGCACGTCAAGGTAGCCGGTGGTTGGGCATACGTAACATGTGTCCCAGCCATCTCAACTGATGAAGTTTCACTACTTCATCAATTGATTTGCCATCCTTACCTAGTACCCGTTTCCTAACAACTGCATAACTTACTCGATGGTCCCAGGATATACAGGTTTAAACAACGTAAAAGCAAAAGTAAAAAACAGAAGAAAATCTTTATCATATAGATTATTAAAGTATATTTTCATTGAAAACAATAGAGGGATATACAGATTTACATTAGTATATAAATATACTATGCCTATATACAATATCGAAGGATAATCTTGATTACATATCTTCATATTCCACTCGAATACGTTTTAAACGACTAACACGATAACTTGGATATTTTCTAGTAGCAGCCAAATTACTAACAATTGTTGATCGACCAGGATAAGCATTAACTTTGAAAAAATGATCTTCATTCGGATTATAACGTACTGGTTCTAATTGTATATTTAAATTCGATGGTAATTCACAAAGATTATTTTTTGCATCTGATGTTAATTTATATAAGAAATCTGGTGTTTCTACTGGTGTCATAAAATAATTGATTAAATCTTCAATAGAATTAATTTCATGAAGGTAACTATTGGCAATATGATGTTTAAACTCTGTAATACATGCGGTAAATATCTGTTTTAAAATAAAGTAGTATATAAACACAATGAATAAAAATAATATCTGTTTCAATTATATATTCACATTAAGTTTTACATGAGTTTCAATGAATTATTTGAATATAATAGTCAAGTTCGTGATAGATGTATTAATCAATTGGAATGCATTGACTCATTCGTTCGGAGATCAACGTGGTAACTGTGACCAATCCGTCAAGGTAATTAGATGGTATGGTTAAAAATTGACCAGAATGATATAGATACAGTCAGTCAGTCAGCTACAACGTAGGACCAGTCACATATATGCATCGGTTCAAGTTGCCATACCTCATTAACACAACAAGATGGACACCGGATTCATAAAAGTAGTTAATTGAGAGGTGGAAATATATAAAAGAAAGATTGCAATAGTACAGGAAGAAAGAATTAGTTCGCAGGAAGAAAGATATGAAGTGATCTTATTCTTTTAGTTTAAGGGAAGACAAAAAGTGTATACACCTAAGCCATTGTGGTCGATTCTGAGTCATGTCACCAAGAGTCCCCAACCATTGGTTACGATTGTCACGCGGACTCCAACCGAGTAGTCGCCATCTACCAACATGGCTCAGACTAGAAGTTAGTGTCTTCAAGCACTGATGCCACGTTTTGGTTTGGCCGCCCCTAACTTTCTTCCAACCATCCCCTACACCGGTTAGCATTGCACGTCGCGGTAATCGGTGTTCAGGCATACGTAACACGTGGCACAACCATCTCAGTTGATGAAGATTCACAACCTCATCAACTGATCTACCATCATTCCCTAATACCCGGTATCTAACCTCACTATCGCTTACTCGGTGATCCCAGCAGACGCCAGCAATATTTTTAAGGCATCTGTGGTCAAATACTAGTAGCTTACGAGTACCTTCTACTCTTAATGGCCATGTTTCGCTGCCGTAAATTAAAACAGAACGGACTGCCGCGCAGTATACTCGTCCCTTAATTGATAGACGGATATTTCGCCTTCGACACTTTCTGATTTATCCTTAAAGCATCAGTTTGAATAATAGTTCAAAACATTCATTTCTTTATCTTATGCATTTATAGCAGCTCATATGCAATGGAGTTTGTTCATATTTAATTTGCTTAAACCCTTTTGTTAACTTATTTAAAGGATAAAGACATTCGTACAATGACAACTTATCTATACTATTATACCTTTATTATTGTTGCTCTTGTATGAATATGTATGCTTGAATAATCCTTACTACCTACGCATGTATTCATTCTGCTAGCCTTACTATCAGTCGCTTAATTGATTCGATGATTCATTCATTTACCTATGTACATATATATGTACATTTTAATCCTGTTCACTCGTTTGCCCGTTTGCTTTTCGCCACTACTCTTTCATGCATACTTAGCGTACCTGTAATTTTAATTATCTATGCGTGGTGCAATAATAAACGTAATCAACACTTCGTATTCACCTTCTGATTAATACACCGTTGAAATGTTATCCAGTGATGGTTATCAGGACAAATGGTATACAAAGTTTAAGGATTATATTGAATACCGACCATCACACATTATTATTAAAATATATTCTCAGTTTTTATAAACCTCTTATACTTAAGGCTTTTTTGAAGCTATTCAAATATTTTGCGCATGATGACAACATGTAAAGTGCATTTTAAGTTAACTGAAAATACGAAATCACGAACTTATATGGTATAATAGCATGTTTAGTGAATAACTACATAATGAATGAACTCATATGACTTAAGTAATAGGTATTTTAAAAAGTGGGGGAAATGTTAGGCTAACTATCAGTATATATGACAAAAAAATAGCAAATGCCCTGGTACAGGGGAGAGTGGAGAGTTAGCTCTCCCTTTCGAAATTTTCTCACATGAACAAGTGTATACATCCACTGTCCTACTCACTGCCTTCTAGCGGCATTACTGTTGTTTACGGAATTGAGAGGACGAAAATCGAATGTCCGGCGCTTTAACCGTGTTGGTGAACACAGAGTGTTCATTTAGAGGAGTTGAAAATCCCTGATCCCATGGTGCACATGGGCTCCACTATCCTGAAGGGACAAATGGAGTATGAACTTATTGTTGGTCACTGTCTACCATGGGAATGTATCTCCTAACATAGCTCCACTGCGTTGTGGATCAAAACTTTAGGTCAAAGGTTCCGGGTGTGGCCCCTAAGAAAACCACCTGTTTCAGTTCGAGTACCCAGGAAGTATACCAGCCCTCACATAAATCGAATGATTTATATAATGCATATCTATTTGGTGCCTCCTTGTACCAATGTTTATGTGTTTAAATAAATAAATAATAGAAGATTTGAGATTTGTATGAACAATTGACTAAATTAAATTTACTTTATATTTTTCATCATTATTCTGAAAACGATAAGCTTTCCATTGATTATTGTTTGATGAACTCAAGTTGAATAACTTTTTACTTAAAGCTTCAATACGTAATTCAACATCTTCTGGTGGACTATAAGGATCACGATTCATTAAAATATTTTTACTATAATATAAAATCAAAGTGATAAGATCAATTAATGTTAAGTGAAAAAAATGATTTCATTACCTTTTATCTGCCAATGATTGTAATCTTGAAGTGAAACTATAAACTTTTGATTCATTGAACTGATTTGTTGATAAAGAATTTGATAATATCGGTATTTGTAAACACTTTATCTAAATATATAAGTATTGAAACTTGATTTCATCATATTAGAAATAAAATTTTCAATATAATATAGATAAAGCACAAAAACAAACACTTGACTAATCTCTGTACTAATCATGATTGAGATCATGAACTGATTGATGTTTAACCACCGTTGGAAGCCTGAAGCACCGGACGGCCGTTTTGTTGCCACAATAGGACGGCCTTGGTACGGCCGAAAGTGGGGAGAGTCCGCTCTCCCTATCGAAATGGTCTCACATGGCCACACGTATATAGCCTCTGCCAGGAAAGTCTCAATAACTTTTGAGAAACTTTAAGAAGACATTATGTTCAAAATTCGGTACTTAGTTGACCATAGATTGCTAAAGAGTCTATGATACTTATTTAGACAACTGGATGTATGTCTATTCTCAAAGGGTCTCTTTTTAGATACAGTGTCATCATTTGAAAAATCTTCTACTTCTGGTTTGTTACATATTTATCAGTCGTTTCTAGACCATACCTTTTCAGTTTCCCAAGTCAAAGATGTATGGTGTCACCCAATAGATATGGTGAGTCATGAGTTGAATGACTTAACTGATGGTTATTACATACAATAATGTCCTACAAAGGAAGAATATCCTGACCAATTTTTACAAGTAGATAACCAATGAAATCCTGTTGGGTATAGTTTAAAAAATAAGAACCTATGGGTCAATCTGGGCCTTCATATTAAAGATACAACAACACCACAGAACCACTGAGATTGCCTAAAGATTTAGACACTCCAATTCAAACCAGAGGATTACAAGTTTAGGCTTCTTTTCACCAATCAATGTTTGGCCACCTATATTGTGATCTTAGCATGTCAATATGAAGATCAACACACACAGGATTTGTGGTCTGTTCGGTAGCTAAATCATTATTAGGTCCCAGACGTTATTGTTATATATTATGGCAACTTCATGGTTCTTATGGTTTAGGAAAAAGTCTGAAGTCCCTGAAGATACAGGAACGAAGTGTCTAGGCGAAATTCCACTTGTAAAACAAGCTTGAGATGCCCCTATCATATGGGAATACGAAGAACTATCTCAAGTATGTTTAAGGAAGGCTTATTGAATGACCTAGAGTTATAGTCATCAGAATCTGGTTATCTGTATGATTATATCTTGGCTGAGAACCAGTTTTTAAGGATAACTCACTTAACAGGTGACCGAACTAAACGATTTGAGATAAAACTACACACTTTCACCAGCTTATTAGGAAAGGCTAAGACAGGCCATATGCTATCTGGTACTAAAAAAACATCTGAAATCTGACTACACCAATCTAGTGCTAATATCCGATTAACTATGATTCCGACGTGTAGAATGCAAAAAAATAATAATAAAATCTAGTTCCTTTATAAGGCATGATGAACACTATTTGCAATTAACCATGAAGATATTTAAAGCAAGATTTACATTACAGATCGCGTAGCGCAGCATTTTGCGAAGGTCGCGCTTTCAAATGGTTCAAATGTTTGTGGACGGAATAGAATAAGCTTTAGCTTAACAGGCTTGCGTGTTTAGTAGCAGAAGATCACCGAAACCTCCAGGCAGGAACCTAGGTATGTTAACAATAAGGGAGGAAAAGAAATTCGTAAATCATAGTGTGATAATATTTTTAGTCCTTAAGAATAGATCAAGTTGCCTCTTAAAGGACTCCTGGGAAGTCGCTTGAACTAGCTCGGCCGGCAGCGAATTCCAGCATTTGACAACTCTTAGTGAGTAGAAGCTGTGCCTACACTCCGTTCTGCTATGTTGTGTCTCTCGTTTTTGGGTTTTACCCCTTAGGTTAGTGTTGGAACTAAGCTTAAGTAGGTGTTTGAGAGGATGTCCAGAAGTGTTAAGGATACTGTAAGCCATCAGAAAATCACCTCTTAAACGTCTGTACTCTAGTGGGTAAAGGTTAAGTGAATGGCGGCGCTCTTCGTAAGGTTTAAATTTGAGTCCTCGAACTGATTTCGTGGCTCGCCTTTGGATACGCTCCAGGGTGTCCTTATCCTTTTGGAGTGAGGACGGATAAAACTATTGAAGATTATATGGAAAGTTCTTCTGTCAAAAAACTGGCCAAAAATGCGCTTCAATATTACCAGTGCAAGGTTTGCTCGGAAGGCATTTTTGTCACAGTTAGCATAGGACTTTAAATCGTAGGGCACCAGGACTCCTAAATCTTTTTCGACTTGGGATGCTACTAGAGAGGGGTTTCCTAAGTTATAACTGTAGTCTGCGACATGTCGCAGATGGACTACTTTACACTTTGGAGTGTTAAGGGTAAGTCCGTTTTTGTCTGCCCAACTTTGAAGTCTAGTCCGATCCTCCTGAGGTGCCTGTATATCGTTTTGGCTGCGTATCTCGCTCCAAAGTTTCACGTCGTCGGCAAAAAGTAATAAGTCTGACGTTACCTGTTGAGGAAGATCATTTATGAAGATCAAGAAGAGAAGAGTTCTTAGTACAGAGCCCTGAGGGTGGTCTAATACCCAATCGTTTTAGCTTATTGATAAGACATATATGGTTAACACTATCAAAAGCTTTTGAGAAATCTAGGTAGATGATATCAACCTTCCCAATGTGATCGAGGATGATTGCCCACATGTCCACCGCAGTTAGCAGGTTGGCTATACAAGAGTAACCCTTCCTGAAACCACGCTGTTGTGATGAGAAGAAATTTAAGGGCAGTAAATAGTCATTTATACCATCGCATATCAGGGACTCCATGATTTTTGAAGGTATTCAGAGAAGAGCCACCGGTTGGTAACTTGAAGGTTCGCTGCGTCGAGCTCCTTTGAAAATTTGTGTGATGTGAGCCAGCTTCCAATTTTCCGGTAGTTTCCCTCTGCTTAGCGAGTGTGAGAACATCACGCTAAGCGGCGTTGCCAGGATTGAGGCTGCTTCCCTCAGTATGGCAGAATGAACCATATCCGGGCCAGAAGAAGTGTCAATTCTTAAGTGCGGTAGTTTCCGGAACACCAAGTCAGCGCTCAGGTTCACTTCGGAAAGTCCTTTGAAGCTGCAGATGAATGTGGGTCGGTTAAAGTGTCCGACAGTATTGTTCAGCTAAAAGGTTAGCGGCGTTTCCGTCGTCGTTGGTCGGGCCGTTAAGACCTAGCAATTGAGAAACTCCGGTTTTGGCTTGACGAAGAGAGGCTGCACAACAGAATAAGCTTTTCAAATTAGAGACAAATTTGTCCATAAGCTTTTTCTGGTACTGAAGCCTATCGTCTTTTATAGCCTTCGTGCATTTGTTCCTGATATGTTTGTATTGCTTGTACACTCCGTTGTTGTCAGTTCGTTTTTACTCTGCCCAATAGTGCCTTTTTCGGCTTAGCAGGCGAAAAGTGTGGTTCCTGATGACTGTGGGTTGCTGATAGCTATGGGGGACCGTTTGAAGAACTGAATGATTTGTAGCACATATGAGCGTGTGCAGTAAGAAGTCCCAATGAACATCCACATCGAGCTGAGAGTGAACATCCCAATCCACCTGCTGTAGATAGTCCTGTAGAGCTGACACATTCAACAGTTTGAAATTCCAGAGCAAGTGATTGATGGGATATCTTAGCTCAGTTTTGCTGACGAAACTGAAAGCTATAACGACGTGATCGCTTTTTCCCAGGATTGAGAGGGTGTCAACTAGGAATCCTTCGTTTGTAAATACACAGTCTAAGCGCAATGGTGTCTGACTGCTTCTCCAACGAGTTGCTGACTGTACATTTTCGTATAATCCCAAGTCCTCGATGAGGTTTGAGAACCGAGCTTCAGTTGAGTTTTCACCTCCAATGTACGCATGTTCCGCGAAATTTACTCTAGGGAGATTGAAACAGAGACGAGTAGGGCGGGATAGTCCTTCCAGCACACGACTGTCGTGGTCGATATCGGCGGTGGGCTTCCTGTATATGAGTCCGACTAGACACCTCGAAGTAGCACACAATCTTACAGAGCACCATATGGATTCCTCAAGATTGTTAAACTCGAGGTTATGAACTTGGTGTACCTCCAAGCAAGATCGTATTCACACGACTAATCTATCCCCAATTCCTGATTTTCTGTCGTTGCGAAACAAAGACATCCCAGGTACTGCTAACTCCTGGTTCGAGAATTGAGATGTCTAAGTTTCAGTTATTCCTATCAGATGAGCCTTATAAGTATTGCTAGGTTCATGTAGCTCATCCATTTTGTTTGGTAGACTGATGACGTTCATGTATAAGCAGTTTATGCTTTCAACTTAAGATGCGTGAGCTTCTTCCTGTTTGTCTGTTTGAGCCTTACGTGAATGGACAGGTAGCCCACCTATATGAGGTTTGCCGAGGTGGTAGGCCCTGTCCTTTACAAGTTTTGTTTTATCATCGAGACAGTCCACAAGTGGGACGGTCAGCTCCAACTTGCTTTTGTGTTTGGTCCTAGCTTCATATGGCCTATTCGGGTGCATGTGGATTCCAGCTGGCAGCGGACGTCTGTAGGCACGAAAGGCCTCCAGAGTTGAAGCCACCATGTGGAAGGATGGGAAATGTTTCAAATGGTTTTGGACGGAAAAGAAGAAGCTTTTGCTTAACGAGCTTCCGTGTCTAGTAGCAGTAAATCAACATTACCTTCAGGCAGGAACCTAAGTATATTAATCCTGAAAAAGGAAAAAGAAAAAAGCTGGTAAATCATAGTAAGATGCTATCCTTAGTCCATAACAATACCTCAAGTGTTCTCTCAAAGGACTCCTGAGAAGTATCTTGGACTAGTTCAGTCCGCAGCGGATTCCATCATTTGACTACTCTTAAAGAGTATAATTTGTGCATAAAGTCGGTTCTGCTGAGTTATGTCGCCAGTTGCTGGCTGATATCCCTAAAGTTTGTGTTTGGACTTAGCTCACGTAGGTGTTTAAGAGGACATTCAAGAGTTTTTAGGATGCTGTAAACCACTAGAAGGTCACCTTTAATGAATAAAGGTTTGGTGGTTGGAAGCGCTCTTCGTAAGGCTTGAATTTGAATCCCCGGACTAATTTCGTGGCCCGCCGTTGGATACGTTCCAGAGTGTCTTTTTCCTTTTGAAGTGGAGGAGAAAATACTATGTCACTGCACTCTAAATGAGAACGCATTAAACTGCTGAAGATTACTTGCGAAGTTGCCAAAAATGAGCTCCGATGTTATCAGTGCAAGGTTTGCTCGCGTTTGTCGCAGTTAGCGCAAGACTTCAACTCGTAGGGTACCGTTACTTCTAGATCTTTTTGATTTTATCCTGTTCATTGCGCATCTCTCCCCAAAGTTTTACATCATCAGTAAAAGTAATAAGTCTTACGATACCTGTTGTGGAAAATCGTTTATATAAATCAAGAAAAGATGACGTCTTAGTACTGAACCATGAGGGATTCCATAACCTGAAAGAATTTGAAGTTAGTAATAATAATATATATTTCTGCATGTACAGGTACACGCCATTTTTACAGACATGATCTATAAATTACAACGATTGTTGGTTCACAAAATGCTTCTCAATTTATCAAGTTTATAGTTGTTATAAAGTATACTCGTAGGGCGCTTGCTGTAAACCGTGACATTGACTGGACGCGTACGTCGAGTTTGTTCCAGACGTCAGAAGTCTCACAGCTGTGTCCTCAGAGCAAATTTTTGAAGAAGAAAGAAAAGTGAAACAGAAGAGCAGTAAGGCACTTGGATATGTACGCCAAACGTTGCTTAACATTGTGTACTAGAACGGACAGAGGTATAATAAATTAGAATAAATTCATATTATTTATTGTTAGAGTGAAAAGCAGTCGGAGGCTCCATATTAGAGAATGTAATAATAAAGAACAATGAGTTGTGTCGTTTAACAAGTTGGAGTAAGCTTACATGAAGGAAAGGAAGTCAAGGCTGGTACAAGGGTAGCGGTTTATTAGAAGGGTGTGTATATAGAAGGCGAATTGTGAAGAATACTAATGACCATATCTTATGTTGTCTATCTTTTTTTGTTTATCCAATGCCAGCCACACAATCCTAGTGTAAAAATCCGAGTTGTCATGTTATAGGTTGTCTTAGTAGAATAGACAATCCAGCATAATATTGGAAACGTGAGTCTCAGTGGTGAGCGTAGGAAAACAATCTATATCACAGATTGATTGACTTATTCTCAATGATAAAGAGCCTGATAATAAAATGACAATTTTTATATGTGAAGTGAGCCAATCATTTAAAAGTGATTTGATATCTGATCTTTTGAGCTTATTGATAAGACATTTTCGGTTCACCCTATCAAGAGCTTTTGAGAAGTCAAGGTAAATAACGTCAACCTTGCCCTTGTGATCAAGGATAATTGTCTATCTGTCCACCTCAGTTGGCATGTTGATTATACAAAAATGACCTTTTCTGAAACCGTGGTGTTGAGGCGAAAAGAATTTTATGGATAATAAATAGTCGTGTAGATCATCGTATACCGGGGACTCCATAATTTTTAAGGGTATTGCT